CAATTGAGATCTCTCACGTGGGTGGCGGGGACCCAAATACTTGGTTTGTCACCTGCTGCCTCCCAGGAATGCACCAGCAGGAAGCTGGAATTGGAAGCAGAGATGGAAATGGAACCCAGGCACTCCAATATGGGATGTGGGCATCCCATGCGGCATCTTTGCTGTGCCAAAAATCTGCCCCATCGCTTGGTTTTAAGTCAAGATCAGGATCAACATTGTGGTGCAGCAGGTTAAGCCACTACCTACAATGTCAGCATCCCATATGGGCACCAATTTGAGTCCTGGCTGCTCCACTTCGGATCCAGCTCCCTGATAATGTGCCTGGAAAAGCAGCTGAATACAGCCCAAGTGCTTGGGCCCCTGCACCCACATGAGAGACCCGGATGAAGCTTCTGGCTCCGGGCTTTGGCCTGGCTCAGTTCCAGCTGTTGCAGCGATTTGGGGAGTGAACCAGCAAATGGAAGATTTCTCTCTTCCCCCCTCCCACCCCGTAACTCTGCCTTTCAAATAAATAAGTCTTTTAAAAAAGCATAAAGAGATATCCTCCATCCACTGATTCACTCCCCAGATGGCTACAACAGACCCTACTGGGCCAGGCTAAAGCCAGGAGCCTCCGACATGGAGGAAGGGGCCCAAGCACCTGGGCCATCTTTTTTTCTTTCTTTCTTTCTTTCTTTCTTTATTTTTTTAAAGATTTATTTATAAGTCAGCTACACAGAGAGAGAAGGAGAGGCAGAGAGAGAGAAAGGTCTTCCATCCACTGCTTCACTCCCCCAGCAGGCTGCAATAGCTGGAGTTGCTTGATCTGAAGCCAGGAGCTTCTTCCAGATCTTCCCACCAGGGTGCAGGGGCCCAAGGACTTGGGCCATCTTCTATTGCTTTCCCAGGCCACAGCAGAGAGCTGGATTGGAAGTGGAGCAGCCGGGACTTGAACCAGCACCTATGTGGGGTGCCAGCGTCACAGGTGGCAGCTTTACCTGCCATGCCACAACACTGGCTTCTGATCATGCATTTTTGACAAAGAATCAAATAAAGCTTTTAGAAATAGAAACATGGGGCCAATACTGTGGCGTAGTGGGCTGAACCTCCACCTGCAGCACCAGCATCTCATATGGGCACTGGTTGGACTCCCGGCTGCTCCTCTTCTGATCCAGCTCTCTGCTGTGGCCTGGGAAAGCAGTGGAAGATGGCCCAGGTCCTTGGGCCCCTGCACCCACATGGGAGACCTGGGAAAATGCTCCAGATTCCTGGCTGCAGATCAGCTCAGCTGCAGCTGTTGCAGCCACCTGGGGAGTGACCAGCAGATGGAAGACCTCTCTCTCTGTCTCTCCCTCTCTTTGTCTGTAACTCTACCTCTCAAGTAAATACATAAAAAATATTTTTTAAAAAAGAAATATATGGCCGGCGCCGCGGCTCACTAGGCTAATCCTCCGCCTTGCGGCGCCGGCACACCGGGTTCTAGTCCCGGTCGGGGCGCCGGATTCTGTCCCGGTTGCCCCTCTTCCAGGCCAGCTCTCTGCTGTGGCCCGGGAGTGCAGTGGAGGATGGCCCAAGTGCTTGGGTCCTGCACCCCATGGGAGACCAGGAAAAGCACCTGGCTCCTGGCTCCTGCCATCGGATCAGCGCGGTGCGCCGGCCGCAGCGCGCCGGCCGCGGCGGCCATTGGAGGGTGAACCAACGGCAAGGGAGGACCTTTCTCTCTGTCTCTCTCTCTCACTGTCCACTCTGCCTGTCAAAAAAAAAAAAAAAAAAAAAAAAGAAATATAAACTTAATTGTTGGAATAGAACATTCAGGGAGTTAATTAAACGACAGATTTCTCTGAAGAGGTAATTAGTGAATAGAACAAGAGGACTGAGAACAGGATGCAGCCCTGGGGGATGAGAGGTTGAGAATGAGAATGTCTAACTGGGGGGGGGGGGGAGGCGGTGTCGTGGCTCCAGCTCCTGTGGCACCAGCTCCCATATGGGTGCTGGGTTCTAGTCCTGGTTGCTCCTCTTCCAGTCCAGCTCTCTGCTGTGGCCCGGAAGGGCAGTGGAGGATGGCCCAAGTGCTTGGGCTCTGCACCTGCATGGGAGACCAGGAGGAAGCACCTGGCTCCTGGCTTCGGATTGGTGTGGCGCTGGCTGTAGCAGCCATTTGGGGAGTGAACCAATGGAAGGAAGACCTTTCTCTCTGTCTCTCTCTCACTGTCTATAACTCTACCTGTCAAATAAATTAAAAAAAAAAAAAAGGAATGTCTAACTGGCTGATCAGACTCCCAGAATGAGAGAACAGAGCCTGGAGAAGAAGCAATATTATCTGAATGACAGCCACTAGGAATGCTGCAGAACTGATGGAAGACACGAATCTACAGATAAAGCATCTAGCGCAGTGGCTGGCCTTTGGAGGGTGTTTGGAGAATGTCAGTTCCTTTGGCGATGGAAGGCTTGTGTCTCCTTCCAGAAACCAGAGAGTGTGCTTCCCCACTTCCTGGATGGCTCCAAACCTTCTAGATCTCTGTAGATGCACTGATGGAGGGGTGGGGGAGGGAGCACATCTCGCCCTTGCAGCCCCAGCTGGGGAGGGAGGGGAGCAGCTGTGGGCCAGCTCCTCCAGCCCTAAGCTGGCCTGTGTGTGCGGCAGAGTGAGCTCAGTGACGGCATCGCGATGCTGGTGGCAGGCAACGACCGCGTGCAAGCAGTGATCACACAGATGGAAGAAGTGTGCCGGACCATCGAGGTGAGCCTGGGCTGGGCGGGGCCTGGGCTGGGCGGGGGCGAGGGAACACGTGGGCTGACGTGGACAGTGCAGGCTCCCAAGGGAACTGCTCCTCTCTGATCTCTGGCTCACACGGCCAAAACATTTCTGGCCTCCTAAAAATGTTAGCATATGCTCAGCCAGGTCCGACTCCCAGCTCTGCTGCTCAGTAGCTCTGTGACTTTGGTTCAGTTATTTAACTTCTCCATGCTTTGGTGGTGTTGGTGATGATGATGATCATGATATAGTGGCCGGATCAGTGGGTCTTTCTGAGAATTTAATGGATCCATACAAGGGAAGCCCAGGGCCAAAGATACAGAGAGCCCCTGGTGACGGCATTGCATTAAAGTATCCACTGTTGTTTCTGGAAAGATTGGCAGGGCGGATTCCGGTTCTGCCATGAACTCGCCCAGAACCACGTGCACCTTGCTTTCTTGCCTCTCTGAGTCACACTGAGAAGCAGGACCAGCATCCCTGCTCTCCCAGCCACAGGGTTTCAGCAGCGCCCTTCTTCTCTCCCTTGGATGGTCTAGGACAACAGCCGGAGGCAGAAGCAGTTGTTAAACCAGAGGTTCGAGAGCCTTTGCGCCGTGCTGGAGGAGCGCAAGGGCGAGCTGCTGCAGGCGCTGGCCCGCGAGCAGGAGGAGAAGCTGCAGCGGGTCCGCGGCCTCATCCGGCAGTACGGAGACCACCTGGAGGCCTCCTCCAAGCTGGTGGAGTCGGCCATCCAGTCCATGGAGGAGCCGCAGATGGCGCTCTACCTCCAGGTGGGCGCTGGGGGGCGCCGGCTGCCCCGCATAGCGTCGGAGTCTGGGCACTGACACCTGTAGACCCAGGTTCAAGTCTTGTCTGTCGCTTCTTGACCTGGGGCAAGTCACCTCCCACCTCCCCAAACCCCGCCCAGAGCTCGTTTGCTCCCTAACGAACTAGGATGTGCACCCCACCTGCCCCACAGGCCTGAGTGAGAAGTAGAAGTGGGCAGCTCGCCCCGTGCTTACTCGCACCCTCTATTCTCCCCTACAGCAGGCCAAGGAGCTGATCAATAAGTGAGTAGGGGAGCGAAGGGGCCGCGCGGGTTCCACGGGCACCGGGAGGGGCTGAGGGGGCTGGGACGTTGCCCGCTGAGCCGCCGCGGCCACCGCAGGGTCGGGGCGATGTCCAAGGTGGAGCTGGCGGGCCGGCCGGAGCCAGGCTACGAAAGCATGGATCAGTTCACCGTGAGCGTGGAGCACGTGGCCGAAATGCTCAGGACCATCGACTTTCAGCCAGGTGAGAGAGAGAGAGAGGGCAGGCGCGCGGCGGCGGCCGCCGGGGGCTGTGCGTTCAGACCCTCGGCGTGGGTGCAGCGGCGGAAAAGACCGGGCCGCCTCTTCACCCCGCTTTCCTTCGGCCCAGGCGCTTCCGGGGACGAAGACGATGAAGAGGTGGCGTTGGACGGGGATGAGGGCGGCGCAGGGCCAGAGGATGAGCGGCCGCATGCGCCGGAAGGTGAGCGCGGGCCTAGGGCTCAGGGGAGTGGGGCGGACTGGCACGCGCCTGTCCCCTGCTCGGGTGATTGCCCTCCCCCGGGCATCGGGGGTCGTTTGGAGCCCCCACCCTCTCCGAGCCACAAAGGAGAGCCCTAAGTGCGCGTCAAAGCACACTTTCCTCGCCACCAGCCGCTGCCTGGGTGAGAGCCTGGGTGGGTGGGCGAGCAGAGGAGAAGCCCACGTGACTGAGGAGCGGGAGTGGGCCTTTGGGGCATCTGCTCACCGAGCTGCACCTTCCGAGCACAGGCCCACGCTGACCCGACCCCAGCTGGAGAGCCCGTGCCGGTGCCCGCGCCGGGGTGGTGGAGGATCTGCGCAGCGACCCCCGCGCCCCAACTCGGCGCCGCGCCCGGCCGCCCCCAGGAGTAGGGGCTCAATAAAGGACTCTGGCGTCCCCGACCCATCTCTCCTTTCGCTGCCCACTCCCGTAGCCTCAGCTTCAGGCGACCTCGCCGCCTTCCTCTCTTCCCCAAACACCATTTGGGGGGCGGAAGAGAGACGAACCTCCATTGGGCATCTCCCCGATGCCAGGAGCGGCCCCTCGAGCCCGTGCTCTGGGACGAAGGTTGGGGGTGGTGCGGGGGCGCTGGGCCCTCTGGGTTGTGGGTTTCGGGGGCAACTGGATTCATGGGGGCTTGGCCGGAAGCTGCTCTCGCGGGGCCCCTGAGCACCTGGGTCCCTCCCACAGGTTCTGACCCTGTAGTGGCTGCCGCGCCCCCACCACAGAAGTCAAAGGCTCTTCCGCACTTTTATTTAAAAAAAAAAAAAAAAAGACACGCAGGGAGTGCCCTGGGTGACTGGGCCACGCACGATGCCCAGCGGGACTGAGTCAGTTCCGGTCGCGCACGGTCCAGCCCGTGGAGGGGGAAGAGGTAGGGGCTTTGCCGGCCCCGGCCCGACGGTCACTTGCCCACAGAGTCGAATATGACGCGGTTCTGCTCGGCGCGCTCCCGCTGGCTCTGCGTTCGCGCCAGCTCCAGCAGGGTCCGCAGTAGGTGGAAAGTGAGGTCAATGGACAGAGGAGGGTCGTCGCGCCGCGGCCGCTCGCTCGCAGTCCTGGGTCCCCAGCTGCCCGATCCCGCGCGGCGCGGAAACCGCTCAGCCAGCAGCAAGAGGAGAGCGCGGGCTCCGCCGCCGTGGTTGCGCGTCCCGGGGCTCCAACGGAGACTCGGGTCCTGGACCCCGGCCGCCGCCTCCGCCTCCGCCGGGCTCCACTGGCTGCTCCCGGGGCGCAGCTGTGCCAAAAGGAGCAGCGCCCCCAGTAGCGCCGCGCGTCCCGCCTGCCTCATGATGCCGCCGGCCCTGAACACACAGGGGTAGTGCGGGGTGAGGTGTGCCTGGGGCAGCCGCAGGTGGCAAACTCCCTGCGCACACCCAGTGCCCTGCCGGGTCCCTCTGGCTGCCGCCCAGTGCGCACAGCCTGCCCCCAGCTCCAGCCGCTGCCCGGCCCACCTCTTTCCTTCCCCCCGCCCTCCTCCCCGAGCTCCGTGCCTCCCTCCCGGCGGGTCGCGGTGGGTGGACTGAGTGCGGAGTCCTGGTGCTGAGGGAGCTTGGGTGGACGCTGGGAGCCACTCACAGGTTGTCGGAGAGCGCCCGCCCGGCGCGAGACGGAGCTCCAGCCTCTGTCCCTTGGGGCGGGCCGAGTGCGCCTGGGGAAACGCGGGGTCTGTCCCGGGACCGCCGCCAGCCTTATATAGCGCCAGGACAGCTCCGACTGACGTCAGCGAAGAGCTCGCACCGATCGTGGAAGCAATGACAGCTTCAGCCCCGAGTTCTGCAGGTTGCGCGCCCCCGGAGGGGCACACTCCGGACACGAGATCGTGTCCCTGAGGCCAGCGCTGGAAACAGAACTGGACTACCGAGATCCGGAAGCCGGCTGGGACCTAGAGGTTGCTCTGACACCCCCAGTGCCCCTCGCCCCCTTAGAGCAGCCAGCAGTGTGGAGGCCCATTTCCCAAGGCAGACCACTCCCGAGTTTCTTCTTAGGCACACGAAAGGGAGGCGAGCCGCAGAAGCTGTCCATGGTGCTGACCCTGTCCGGGGGCCTCAGGCCGGGAGCCAGAGGCATCCGAGAAGGCTCTGCTGCTCAGATCTAGTCCCCTGCTGGAGCTACCAGTTGTGCACACAGAGAGTCGGCAGCACACCACGGGCATTCAGCCAACACCAGCGCCTGCCACAGTCTCCACTAAAGACCTCATTACAACCCTGGGTCTAAGGTCCTGTGGCTGTCTGAATGAGGCACTAAGCTCAAGAGGGTCTCTAGTCTCAAGGTGCTTTAGGACCACATGAGGCTGCTCCTTCTCTTCTGAGTTCACCCAGAGTGGTGGCTTAGCAAAGGCCAGTCTTTCTCCAGGGAAGCAGACAACAGTGTTACTAGAGCTTTGGCTTTCTAGTTAAGATCACTGGGTAAGAAGTGAGGAAACTCGAGTTCAAGTTTCTGCTGTCACTAACTCACGGGTGACCTGACTTCCAAGGATCTCAGTGTCCACACTGGGTTGGTGCTCCTAGGCCTCTGGCCAGTTCGAGAAATTGTGACTCCTCAGTGGTTTTCTGCTGAGTCTTGCTCATTTCCTCTGCAGGTGCCAGATACACACTCCATGCCATACTGACTGCAGCATATGCGGTCTGAAGGACCCCAAAGAGTTGGAACTGCACTTGGGCTGGGAAGGGCTGGACTGGCAGACGTGTCTGGGGAGAGAGGGGATGAGTGGCATTTGCTGGCCACTGGGTGTAAAACTGACAAGGTCAGATGGTACAACACATACTTATGGGGCCAGCATTGTGGCACAGTGGGAAGGCCACCACCTGAGATGCTGGCATCCCATATGGGTGCCAGTCCGAGTCCTGGACGGTCCAATTCTGATCCAGCTCCCTGCTATTGGCATGGGAAAAGCAGCAGATGAGGATGGCCCAAGTACTTGGGCCCCTGCCATCCATGTGGGAGACCTGGAAGCGCTTTTTAAGATTTATTTATTTATTTGAAAGGCAGAGTTACAGAGAGGGAGAGGAAGGGGCAGAGAGAGAAGTCTTCCATCCGCTGGTTCACTTCCCAGATGGCTGCAATGGCCGGGGCTGGGCCAGACCAAAGCCAGGAGCCAGAACTTCTTCTGGGTCTGCCACGTGGGTGCAGGGGCCCAAGCACCTGCGCCATCTTCTCCTGCTTCCCCAGGCACATTAGCAGAGAGCTGAATCAGAAGTGGAGCAGCCGAAACTCGAACCGGTGCCCATATGGGATGCCGGTACTGCAGGCGGCAGCCTAACCCTCTCTGCCACAGTGCCGGCTCTGATAAATCAATCTTTAAAAAAAAACATGTATTTGTGGAATTATGTACCATGGTGGGAGTATGATCACAGTCAGGTGCTGCCTAATGATGCTGATGTGACGACCTGCACATCCCACAGCGGCCCCCACCACCTGGCGGCACTGTGGCCATGGTGATGTTGTAACATGGAAGTGTAATGCATTCCTCACCTATCTGTGGCAATGCTGGCGGAAACAAACCTACCATGTTACAGTCATGTGAGTACAGTAAATACGGTTACATACAGGACATAATTCTTGGTAATAAACGACTATGTTACTGGCTTATGTATTTACTATGCTCTACTTTTAACTGTTAGCGTGTCCTACCTATTAACAACCTTGACTGTGTGCTGAGTTATGCTGGTAGCGGCCTGTAGGCTTCATCTCAAGAGGCCACCTCAAGTGACTGATCTCTCATCTAGGATGCTCACAATGACAAAAGCACCTAATGAGACACCTCTCAGAAAGCTTCCTTCTTGTTAAGTGATGCATTATGAAGGTTTTAGTGACTTCAGACGCAGTTAGTTTACATTTTAGAGTGAAATGTGCCAGCTCAGAGGGCAAATCCCATGAAGTTCTGGCGAGTGGCCCAACCACATGGAAACTGCCCTGGCCCCTTTGGGGAGGCTGTCTGACCATTCTAGGGTCAAGCTGTCACTGCAAGGTACTAACAGTGGAGCAAGGCAGGCTTAGAGCTGGTGTGCCTTCCAGGACAGGTAGGAGTTCCAGATGACGGCAACACACTGGACAACGGCCAACCTACGGAGCAGGAAGAGCACAGTGACGGGCAGGAAGGGGGAAGGGAAAGGGAGGGAGCCTTTCCGGAGTTAGTCTCCTCCCGCCAGCCCCTCATGGAGGGGGGCCTGTGTGGCTTGGACCAGAGGACACAGCTCAGATCCGGGGCCATCCCCGAGCTCTGTCTCCTGGATGAGGACCTCCGAAGTTAAGCACCCTCAGCAGTTGTGGTGACACGCACAGGTCTGCCACACAGGCCCCTGGCCACACCCTTTCCAAATACATTTTTCTATGCACCTTGCACCAGCTGAGATTTTTCCTTTCAAAAATACTCTGCCTGCTGGATAAAGTAGTATCTCCATTTATCTTAAGTTAACCTGGCTCAAAGAGGTTGTTCAGGATCCTAGTGTTTGGGATTTGGTAATTCCCCATTCTTTTAGCATGGTGAGCCATGTAAATTTTGACTTCCCTCTGATGAGTTCTATATTTTGGCCTATCCCCAAGGCCCCTCAACTCAAGCATTCTAACTACTATCGTGAGTTCCACTCTCTTTTTTAAAAAACTGTGCTTGAGCAATCATGTTTATTATTACTACTTTGCAGTAAACTAACCCGACCAGGTTCCTACTTGGCCCTCTGGTCTACCTGTCTGTGTAACCTAGGCTGTGGCACCCTAGACACTGAACCTGCAGATGTGCCATCAAAGGCAGAGAATCAAGGGTTGAGAAGCAGAATCCTCCCTGGGAAGATGACAGTCAGTGGGCAGGCACCCCGAGCAGGTTCTATAAAGGCTGAGAGGTTCTGGAAAAAACACTTGGGGATCTGAGAGGCTCTGACCAGGGTAGAGTGTGCCACTGGGGACCTGAGCTTGCCTACTATTTGCTTCCAACTGCCGGTAACGTGGCTCTTCCTTGCAGGGTGGGGTAGGGGGCTGCATACCTGTAGTGCAGGGGGACCAAGTAGAAGTTGGCTAACTGCACAGCAGGCCAGAGCTGCAAGGGACAGAAGGTGATGGTTAGGTGGCTGGCCCCTAGACTCAATGCCTTACCTGGCCCTGCCCCTGCCCCAACTTCTGCACGCCAGTAACAGCTGAAAACCTGCTGAGTGCTTCCCTGAGCATGGTGCCCACGCAGCCAATGGGAACCCCAATGGAGGGGTTCTTGGGTTGGAAGGACCCCCAGGGCATCTCTGAACTTAAGGCAACAGGACAGGCTGTGAGTGTGTCAGCTCTTACGTAGTAGTTGGTGATGAGGGCGTCAAGATAATCCTGAAGAGACAGAGAAACAACAAATTAACACGTCTTCCTCTAGCAGCTCCCACCTCCCGTGTGAATGTTACACACAAACTTCTCTTCAGGGCACACTCCTGTCTCACACTCCCCTCAGCTCCTCTGCTCCACAGCCCAGGGCTCCACCTGCACCTCCACCTTCTGCCTACCTCTTTCCCCATGCGCTGCCACCCTGGCAGCCAGAGGCCTTGCCCACACCTGCGCCGCTCACCCGCTGTAGCTTAGCCCAATTGTCCTGGGCCGACAGTCCATTGAGTGTCCCTACCAGAGGGAGGAAGCAGCCTAGGAAACATGGGGCAAAGCCCCCCTAGGACAAGAAATGAAAGCTCGTGAGCACCTTAATGCCCTGCCCCCAGCCTACCCTTCCCGACTCCCTCTTCTTTCTGCTCACCTGATCCAACAGCATCTTCTTCAGGGCATCCACCTTGGTGCCACCTGGGATGAGCCGATCCAGAACCTTATACCAGCCTCCTACTACCGGGCCCTGAAAGTCAGCCCCAGACAGAGGAGCTGGATGCAGTGAGGGGACCCGTGGCTTTTAAATCACAAAGCTCTTCCCCCAAATACCAGAACCCAACTCCCAGGGAGGCAGACACCAAGACAAAAGGAGGGTGGCAGGGCTGGCTGAAGCGTGGAGAAGCCACAGGCAACTAAAGGACAGCACAGAACCAGAACACCGTCCCAGCAGCTGCAACCCTGCTGCGGGCAGAACTTACCACAAAGCCACAGCCCAGAGATACCATGGTCAGGGTCCGGCCGGTCTGGTGTTCCCGCAGACCGCGTTTCTCCACCAGCTGCTGTGAGATAATGTCACCCAGGCCCATCAGGGACCCTGTGCAGGGTACACGGGTGTTGTCAGAACATGGCTGCTACTCCCAGGAGGGAAGTGAGTCTGCTCTGGCACTCTGGGCCCCAGGGCTTCTTCCTTCTGGGGGTAAAGGACCAGTTCCTCTCTCCTGCCTCAAAGCCCTCCTCTCCCCAAGGATGGTGACACCTCGCGTGTGCCTATCAGAAACCGGGATGAACAGGCTAGGGCCCAGGAGCTCTGTACTGAGCAGCAATGGGGGAATCAGAAACTATAGACAGAGGAAGGAAAATCTTAAGATCCTGGGGCTGAGACCTGCACGGTCATTTCATCCAAACCCCTGCTTTTAGAGGTGTGGAAACGAGATTGCAGGAGCTCACATATCCAGTAAGGGCAGAACTGAGGCAAGAACCGGGGCGGGACTGTTAGACCCGGGTCTTTCCAGGACACTGCTCTGTGACTAGGTTATGTGTAGGACAGCAAGGACCCTGGCCACTGCTCTTTACCTTGGTCTGGGGGTCTCTATTTATGAAAGAAGCAGGAATAACTTTTTCTTTTTTTAAAAAATATTTGTTTATTTTAAAGTCAGAGTTACACAGAGAGAGGAGAGGCAGAGAGAGAGAGAGATCTTCCATCTGATGGTTCACTCCCCAATTGGCTGCAACAACTGGAGCTGTGCAAATCTGAAGCCAGGAGCCAGGAGCTTCCTCCCGGTCTCCCACAAGGGTGCAGGGGCCCAAGGACTTGGGCCATCCTCCACTGCTTTCCCAGGCCATAGCAGAGAGCTGGATCAGAAGTGGAGCAGCTGGATCTCGAACCAGTGCCCATATGGGATGCTGGCGCATCAGGCCAGGGTGTAAACCCACTGCGCCACAGCATCGGCCCCTGGAGTAACTCTTTTTCTAAAACAACAGTGCTCAAGTGATACCAGGCAGGCAGGTGACTGGTGAAGTGAGTCCTGGCCACCTCTTGGCAGAATCAGCCAAACCCTGACTTCCCTATGGCAACCCCAGACTGAGCTGGTGTAGGTGTCACAGCCATTCCCCCAGGCCTGCGCACCAGCAACCCCTCCCGTCACTGCAGATGCCTAGCTCCAAGCAGCCCTCATCAGTCACCCCCACCCAGAAGCCAAAACAGACATCATCTCTATTGACAAAGCCCCGTCAATGACAGTGGCGTTACGGTTTCTAGCAAACACACCCTGATGGGGCCGCCTGGGGGTGACCCCACAACCTCCAGCTCGCCTGTCTGAGTAATGAGAGCCCCTCCGGTCCCACAGCCACCACTGTCCCTGTGCCCTCAATTAGCACTGGGCAAACACATCTTCCACCCTGTTCCTTGGCCCGGAGCTGGCTCTGACGTCCACGCTGGCTGCACACTCACTGGTCTGCTCTTCCCCCATACCCTCCGCACAGCTCTGCCCCAGGACAGCCTACCCATGGGCAACTGGGGGAGGCTGGGGGCTGGGCTGCTGGTCATGGAGCAGCCCCAGGCCCCCTGGCACACCCATCAAGGCAGCCCTGTCTTGGCTCTCCAGGGAATCCCCAAAGTGGTGGGGGCTCTTCCCAGAACACTGCTAGATATGAAGTCTCCAAGGACAAGAACAGAAGCCCAAACACCTCTGCTAAACTATTCCCTCTGACACTCAGAGGAGCCCCCTGGCAGGAGCTCAGGAAATCAACAAAGGAAAAATGTCATACAGCCTCAAATCACAGGCCTACCCTGGGAAAGGGCATGGAGAACTCCACGTCCAGCCTGAAGGACTGTGGTCAGGCTGCAGGAGAGAACCAGGGAACGGAGGCTTGCTCCCCACCCCCAGGCAGTCAGCTCTTAACACTTTCCCACACCCCCACCTGACAACAGGAGGTACCAGGTGCACTCCCAGGGAGAAAAGGGGCGTGAGAAGGTCGGCACAGGGGAACAGAAAAGGCAATCACTTCCTAAATGGAGGAACTAACGGTCTGACTGTCCACTTGGGCCAGATGGTCAGTGTGCAAAGGGCTCTCACACACTTAATCCTCACAAAAGGCCTAGGCAGGAAGTGAACCCACCTCCATCTGATGATAAAGGAAGTCTTTGAGGGATTGGACTTGGTAAGTAGTGGAGTTGGGATGGATGCAGGGCTTCTCTCGAGGAGGAACAAGGAGGTCACAGGCTCAGAGGCCAGGAGGTTCCAGGAGGTTCCTGCGGCTGCTACTCTGCATAGAGTCCCTGCCCAAGCCAGGGCCCCAAGGGCCTGTGTATCAGAGATGCCTCCTGGACTAACACTGTCTTTACTCCCTAGTATTCCTGTCACCTTGTGGGGATGACAGGCAACAAATTCCCAGGACCCAGAGAGGTATGCCTTGCCAACAGTCACACAGGTTCCTGACTTTTAGCCCCATGGTCCTGGAAGCCAACAGGCTTTGAGAAAGATGGATTCTAGGCCCCTGAAGTGTGCCCATCAAGCCGGAAGGATGACCGGGTGACAGCGGAAGTGACAAGTGGTGCACACTCTGCAGCCTCTGCCAGTTCTGTTCATCTCAGACACCACAGGTTCCTGCTCTGCCCACAGATGATTGGAGCCCCTGGACCCACAGCAACTCCATGCTGGTCTAAGGCGCTGGTCCAAAGAACAAGACCTGTATTTGCAGCCCTCAGGATCCTTTGAGGAAGGAATCGGCCATTCAGATTCTTCATGCCCCCTTCCCCAACCCAAACAGACCCCGCCCCAGAAATGAGGGGTTGTCCAGGACCTTCCAGTGCCCTGGATTCCTTCTCCTTGGAGTTGTGGCTGGAGGCCTGCAGACACCAATGCCCAGGGTCCTGATGGGGTAGGGCAAGGGGCTGCTGGGTAGTGATGTCCCAGTGCCAACCTGGGCGCAGAGCCCAGTGAGCAGACGCTGGCGCGGGTGTGACATCATACCTCTGGGCCGGTGCCAGTTCTCATGCCGTCACTCCCCACCAGATCCAGCGGGCCCGGGAAGGGGAGCCTGCCTCAGCACAGATTTGGGATCACCCTGCGTACAAGTGGAAAAGCCCCAACTTCTACATTTTCCCAGAGTAGGGGTAAATTCCCTACTTCCTCTATTTTGCTCCTGTCCTTTTTTATTTTTATTTTTAAGATTGATTTGTTTATTTGAGAGGCAGAGTCAGAGAGAGAGGAAGAAACAGAGAGAAAGGTCTTCCATCCACTGGTTCACTCTCCAAATGGTCACAACAGCCAGGGCTGGGTGTATCCAAAGCCAGGAGCCAGAAGCTTCCTCTGGGTCTCCCATGTGGGTGCGGGGGCCCAACGACTTGGGCCATCTTCCACTGCTTTCCCAGGCCATAAACTGGGAGCTGGATTAGAAGTGGAGCAGCGAGGACTCCAACCAGCATCCATATGGGATGCTAGTGCTGCAGGCGGAGGATTAACCTACAGCGCTGGCCCCAACTGCTAACTTTAGTGTGGAGTCTTATATGTGAGAAAAATAAAGCATTTACAGAAGGCAAGATGGCAGAGGGACAGGAAGCAGCTTCTTGGAATGAGGAGCAGTACAGGCAGGTGGGCAGGACAGACAGCTACCGGCATGGGGCCGTTGCTGCTGGCCCAGGAGTCTCCAACCATGAACTAACTGCCTGCCTGGTTGGGATAAGAGGCTGGTTTGGTACAGAGCCAGGGGGAGCTGAAGCCCAGCATGTGGGAAATGGGAGAGTGCACCTGGCCTCAATGTTCCCATTCCTGGTCTGAACCCAACCTACTGTGAGAAAATGACCCAGAATGGAAGGTTCTGCTGCCTGTTGAGTATCTAAATACAGCCGAGACTATGCTCAGCGTCTACTGGCCCCAAGACTCTCAAGTGCAGGGCAGTGCCATGGGCAGCACCCTCGGCTGGTTATCTATCTATCTATCTATCTATCTATCTATCTATTGGGTCCACACTGTGGTGTAGCACGTATCCAGCACTGGCATCCCATAAGGGCACCTTCTCTCTCTGTAACTCTGCCTTTCAAATAAATAAACAAACACTTCTTAAAAAAAAAAAAAAAAAAAAAAAAGAAACATTTATTTCAAAGTCAGAGTTAGAAACAGGGAGAGACAGAAAGAGCTCTTCCACCTGCTGGCTTGGTCCACAGAGGGCCACAATGGCCAGAGGTGGACCAGACTGAAGCCAGGAGCCAGGAACTCTCTTCTGGTCTCCCACATGGGTTGCAGGGTCCAAGCACTTGGGCCATCTTCTGCTGCCTTCCCAGGCGCAAGCGCAGGGAGCTAGATCGGAAGCAGGCAGCTGGGACTCAAACCAGCATCCACACGAGATGCCAGCATCTCCAGTGGCAGCTTTCCCAGCTTTCCCGCAACGCCGGCCCCAGCGCCCTGGTTCTTTTTTTTTTTTTTTTTTTTTTTTTTTTGACAGGCAGAGTGGACAGTGAGAGAGAGAGACAGAGAGAAAGGTCTTCCTTTTGCCGTTGGTTCACCCTCCAATGGCCGCCGCGGCCGGCGCACCGCGCTGATCCGATGGCAGGAGCCAGGAGCCAGGTGCTTTTCCTGGTCTCCCATGGGGTGCAGGGCCCAAGCACCTGGGCCATCCTCCACTGCACTCCCTGGCCACAGCAGAGGGCTGGCCTGGAAGAGGGGCAACCGGGACACAATCCGGCGCCCCGACCGGGACTAGAACCCGGTGTGCCGGCGCCGCCAGGCGGAGGATTAGCCTAGTGAGCCGCGGCGCCGGCCTCCAGCGCCCTGGTTCTAACGCCAGCTCTACTGCCCACCACAAGGCCTCAGGGCATGTCATTCTCCCTTTGCCTCAGTTTTCTGCTGTGGTACCAGGCACTAGACTGGAGGGCTTCCTAGGCCTGTTGAGCTCTCACATTCTGGTCTACTTCAGACTCCAGGGAAGGCAGTGTCTGCGGGAGCCTGGCTACCCCCATAGTGGGACGAGGTGACCTAAGATGGCTGGAGCCGGGCCAAGTGGAGACTGAAAGGGCCCACAAGAAAGGGAGGGATACGGCTGACTCAGACTCTGCGGAACACACTGCAAAGCTTCCCCAGGCTGCCCTGCGCCTGACTCCGGCTTGCCAAAACTGAGTATTACACACTTCCCTTGAGCCGGTTCAGATTTCTGCGACTGAAGTCTGATTCTAGCCAGCACTGCAGTTCGACCTAGCAGCGGATCCTTCCTCCAGGCCTATCCACCCCTGGGCCTTCACTGTCGATGCCGTCAGTGACTGTGCACCTAGCGCGTTGCGGGGAGGTCACATCCCGAGGGGAACCTTTGGCCAACGCAGGGTGGGAGCTGGAAAGCCTCTTCCCTGCAGGGAATCGACTGTTCTTTCAGAGTTCTAAGTAGTTCGAAAGATTCTCAGCCAGTTTCAAGGGGTTGAGCAACCAGTGGCCCTTTGCAGCGGCCAATCTGATAATGCACTTTTTTACTGTTCTCTTTCCCTCCACGGGGTTACTTCCTACTCCCCAACAAAGCACCTGCACACGGGCTTCAGGCTCTGTTCTTTGGAGACTACGGCTAAGACAGTCATCCACAATGGCAAGTGGAACACACCTAACCCAACACCATTGTAGAAGAACAGCTTGTTGTGCCTGGATTGCCAGTAGTCACAAGAAGGGCCAACCTCTTGAGCCTTTAAGTTTATTGAGCATTTCCTGATTTCTAAAGCCTTTTTAGAGATAGTCCCTCCATTGTCCCTGTAAGGTCCTATTGCTAAGCTCAAGCCTCAGAGAACTGAAGCCTTAAGAGGTTTACTGACGCGTCCTGATAACGCAGCTCCTAGGTGCTATGGCCCTGAGATTTAAATCCTGGTCTTCCAAAGCCAAGTCTGAAATCTCTGTGCTTTCTCTGGTGGGACGGGACCTCAGGGACTATGATGCTGGGGTTCACATACGGCTCAGTGAGCTAAATCCACCTTCTCGCTTTATGTGTAGTTTGCTCCACGTCCAAGGGAGGAAATGTCTGAGAAGGCTAGGCGGCCACAGGTAGCTTCAGGGCTGAGCTGGGACGTGAGCAGAGCCTTAGGAAGGCTGAGGGAGGGGAGCCGGAGCGCTCTGCCACCAATGGTCCAGAGTCTCCACTCAGCCGCATTTCTGCACTCAGGCCCCTTGGGGCTCCAGCTCCAGATCCCTTGAATAGGGAAACCAAAGGACTATCTTTCCTTCCCTAGTCTGCCGGCCACGAGGGGGAACCTGCCACCTGGCAGCTCTGGGCCCTGAGGGAATTTGAGGCTGGGCAGAGGGCCCAGCGTGTCAGTTCCCATCACAGCCACACAGTCCAGCGTGAGTCACCACACACGCAGCCAGGTGAGTCATGCAGGCTGCCGGACGCTCCGAGGACAGGACACGAGGTGGCTGGGCACAGGAGGCTGGAGAAGGGCCCAAGGAGGGGCAAGAGTCCATCCGCTGACCTGTCCCGCGGTGACGCCTCTAGTGCTGACGCGGGGCGATGCTGGCATCAGGAGCCCCTTTCAACCTTGCTTTCTGTAGCTCCCCACCCCTTCCAACATTCTTGAGTCCTCTTAGAATCCTGCGCCCTTCCTCCAAACACAGGGGACACCCCGCTTTAACCAGATTCCCCTTTGCACTGCCCCAGTGGTCAGAGACTTCCGGCCCCTCCTCCTATAAAGTTACCCAGCTGTGCGCCGCCCCCTTACAGGAGCTGCCCTGCAGAGTGAAGACGGGAACACGTGCAGGTAAGTCGCTGGGTTACCACGGTGAGGCTGTTACTCAATCACCATTGAGTTCTAAAAAAAGCTTGGCTAGTATATTGTTTGGGGATGCACACATAGATAGGAAAGCGAAAGAGTGATATAAGCAGAAGCCAGGAAAATGGCAGTCTCTGCCTGACTCAGACAGGCACTCACGGGCTCTCAAATCTGGGTACTGATACAGGAATGTTCCTTCTCAATACCACTTAAACTGTAAATATATGTCTTAGTATTCTTTGGGGTATTTCACAATAAGAAATACTAGGAAAAATAAGAGAGTTGTTTGAGAACCTCGATTTCAGATTTAGGTGTGTGATCTCGCATGATTCAAATATGCTTTGTGGGCCCCTCACGATATACTGGACGTGGAAGTGCTTTGCGCACTGTAAAATGTTAGAGTATTTGCTATGAGTTATTTTCCAAGTTGGAGACTCCTGGGCAATGCCTAGATCCTCTGCTGTGTGCTTAAGAACAGCCTCGGGGCATCTACCCTCCAAAGCACACTGGGGACTGCGTGGGGTGCCAGCTAGCCTCTCCAGGGGTCTGCAAAGAAGCAGGAAACGAGGGAGGTGCGCCGTCGCCTGTCAATCAGCCTGCTCTGGTCGCACCCGGGTCCCAGAGGGACACTCACCAGCCGTCAGGACCTGGACTTTCCACGGGTGAGCAGCCAGGGCCCGCTGGTATGCCCGCCACAGCGCCATGCTTCCTGCCAAGCCAACAGGAGAGGGGGTCACCCCCACGGCTCCCCACGATGAAGACGACGCCTGACATCCTTGGGCCCACTTCCCCCACCCCCTCTCCAATGCGTCTTAAAGGGGCAGGGGCCCGAGAGGGATGCTTCGTCACAGGAGCCGCCCCGGACAGTCGGGGGAGAAGGCTGTGGGCAGCCCTGGGTTCCTGGCGGTAACCATCTGCCACCCCACCTCAGGTTCCGACTGAGGAACCTGTCAGGGCAAGCTCGCCCTGGCGCCCACCCGGAGCTTGGGTCCCGGAAAAGTGAGTTCAGTCAGCCCCCAGATTCAGTTAGCACCGGTACGCATACGGAGTCCAACTCCACGCCAGCCAAAAGATCCATCGCTGCCTGGGCCTGGAGGACCACGTGCCCTGTGGGCGCTCGTGGCGCGCGCCACTCCAAGCCAGTGACCGCGGGTCACCCGTCACTCACCTGAGTGCGCGCTCCGCGCCCAGCAGTCCTCCCACGTGACGCGCGCTGGCCGAGGGACTTCCGCCACAAGCCCCGCCCCTTCCGGCCCGCCGCCCGCAGACGGTGGGACCCTGGCAGGCGGAGGGGAATGAGTCCACAACGCCACTGAACACCGTGGAGAGCTGCTCAGCTCGGTCACCCCTTCTCCGAGTGGGATGCGTCGGGCCTCGGTGTGGTGTTGCCGGGCGTTACTTCCCACTTGGGTCCAACTTCAGCCTGCTTCCGCCCCTCCACGCCCCGCCCCTCGCTGCTCCGAAGGACGCGAGCTTGTCGTCCCTCGGTCTCAGAAACCAAGAGGGAAGCCCTAAGTGGTGGTTTAGTGCGTGCGCTCCTTTCGTCGCCAGGTTGTTCCCAGCCTCCGTCGTGAGCCGAGCGGGTGGGACGGGCTCATTCCCACTCGTCCTCACAGCACCCGGCTCAGCGCTTTGCCCACAACAGCCCCTGCAGGAAAGCGGCGTGGGGACTGGGGAGCCTCGGTCACTACACCCGGACTTAACCGTTCCTCATCTGTAAAACGAAGGGGTGCACTGTCCGGTTTCCAAACGGCACCCCTCATTTCCAGGGGTTTGTAGGAGGTGTTTGTGTGGGAGTGGGGCTGTCGGTCCCTACCGCAACTGTTTGAAATACATTACCTCTAGAAAGAGCCATTTTTAACAAAGGGGCCCACAGCGAAGTGTCTGAGAGCTACTAGGTGATTTCTGAATCCCTTCCAGCTCTAACACTCGGATTCTGTGCACACACCGCAGGATCCTTTCTAGCAAGGGGCGCTGTCAGGCGGGCAGCTCTGCTTAGCTCCAGGGACCCACACGTGGGAGGCAGGGAGCTCACCGCTCTCCGCTTGCCTACCTCCGGCCCCAGTCCACTCAATTCCTATGTGGTTAACGCAGAGAGAATCCTGTCACAGATACTGGAGAAGCCAGGGAAGCAAGAGAATTCACTGTCGTTTCACTAAAAGGCTCCTGTCTGCAAAACACCATTTCCAAGAAGTGAATTTACTAACAGCCCACGCTTGTGGCAGGTCGGAAAGCTGTGTTCTGAAGGCAGACCGGCAGGCTCGAACCCCACCACCAATTCCTGATGACCTGACCTTGTTCACACTCCTTCTCTGAAGTAAAAACACCTGCCTCAGATTAACACACGAAGTGCCTGAAACAGTGCTCAGCACTGTACCTCCTTTCCCCTTCCTTCCCCTTTGGGGAGCACGGGGGAGGGAGAAATCTGGGAGGCTCCCTGGTGAAGGTGGAATCTGAACGGGGACCCTAACGGATGGGCAGGATTCAGCAGAGGAGGATGTTCCTGGAGGGAACAGTGAGCAGCGTTCCAGGTGCAGGAGTGAATGAATGTTGCTGCAGAGAGGGTCGGAGGACCGCAGCCTGGGGGAGTGAATGAATGTTGCTGCAGAGAGGGTCGGAGGACCGCAGCCTGGGGGAGTGAATGAATGTGTTGCAGAGAGGGTTGGAGGACCGCAGCCTGGAGGAGTGAATGAATGTGTTGCAGAGAGGGTTGGAGGACCGCAGCCTGGGGGAGTCTACAGTAAAGAGCAGGATCAGAAAGCGCCACCCGGGGTTTCTTCTGGCCGTGCAGACTCCGGCTGAGCTCCAGCTGCAGGAGCAGGGAGGCTGGGACCGCCGCGGGTCTCCAGTCATTCCCTGTCTTCACTGCAGGGTGCGCCACTGCTGTGCAGAATGAGCAGAGTGGCTCGGCCGTGAGGAACTGCCCTCGCAGCTCCAAAGGCTGCGGCCCAACCAGAGCTGGGTGACAGCAGACAGCGCAATGCTCAGCTTTCATGGCCATGCGTTAGGTTCCCTGTGCTGCTTAGGGACCAAGGTTTCCTCTTCTGCACAGGAGACTGGACTACTTGATTCCCCCTTCCTAAAGGAGATTTTGACATGATAAATTCCCTAGGGCAACAAAAAGTTCTTCCCAGAATCTTGCCCATCACCCCTCTAGGCTGCCAGAGGTTTTCATGTCCACCTACTCTCCCCTCTCCCTGATGGGAGTTGGCTGCCTATTTTTCCTATTTCCTGAGGTTTTCTACTGCCCTCCAGATCCCAGCCTGTACCCCATGCATTCCAAGACTACAGTTTGCCTGTTGCTCATTACTGGGGCCTAGCCTTGCTGAGGCAGTATTGTAGTCACTTGAGTCTGCCTCATCCCACAGTAAGTCTATGTGGCAGGATCACAAGGATCAAAAATCATGATGTGCATGGAGTGGGCACTTAGCCTAACAGTTAAGACACTTGCATCCCACATCAGAGTACTGGGTGTTCCATTCCTGGCTCTGGCTCCTGACTCCAGCTTCCTGCTAATGTAGACCCTGGGAGGCAATGAGGATGGCTCAAATAATAAGTTCCTGCCACCAACACAGGAGACCTCCATTCCCCACTCCTGGCTTTGGCCCTGGTAATTGAGGGCATCTGAGGAGTGGACATTCTCCCTCTCTGTGCCTCTCAAATTAAAAAAAAAAAATGACGTGTAAAAGAATGGTTGTAGTAACTGAAGATATTTAATCTAGAGAAGAAAAGACTTGGGAAACACATGATAGCTATTGTTAAATACTTAAAAGGGCAATTACAGGGAAGAATGACTAGGTTTTCTAACACCCATGAGTAAAATCAAGAGGTTTGCTCTTTGACTTGATAGAAAGGAAGATTTTAAAAACATGACTGTCTGGGAGTGCCCAGCTAGGGCCAGGTGACTAGTGGAGATTCCTACGCAGGAGCAAGAGCTGAGCCGCCAGTCTCCTGGCCGGCTGTTGGTGGCGGGCCTCGGTTAAAGGTGCTAGAAGCAGCTTCAGTCCCGTAAGTGACTGTCACCCTCTTGGGCCCGTTGGTTAAGCTAAAGAGGATGTCTGGGAAGGCAGTGACAATGGATCCTGGATTATAGCCCAGCAAGAGCCTTCATGTGGATACCCTTTCCAGTTCTCCAAACACCACTCACAAGTGGTCTCAAAAACACCCAGTACCTTTACTTAGCTTTACCCACTCCACAACATGCTCAATATGAGCAATCTGACTCCCAAGCCTGGGGCAGGCCCGAGCGTTTCTCGTGAGCCACAGTTTCAGGCTGAGGCGCCTTTGTGGGAGAGCAGTCCCCTTGCCCACAGCGGGCTGTGACTAAAGAAGTCTGTGGAAGGAGAGAGATCTAAGGAGTCCTGGGGAGGCAGGCCTAAAGGTCAGGCCTGGCAGCATCACTGTCCAGGAAGGCCCCAGTTCCTATGGCTCTGTGCATAGGGGCCATTTGTTCTTGGCAGACTTCATTCCTGCTGGACCAACACTAGGGACCAGGCAGAAGGCGATGGCTGGCTGGAGGGAAGCCAGGCCCTTTAGGTGGGGCGGTTGGTTGGAACATAGCACTGAAGTGGGCTCGACTTTCAAGCTGCAGACGGTGGCCCAGCGGGGAGGTGAGTCCACGGACAAAATGGATCCGAACCAGCCCTGACTGCCCCCCAGAAACCAGCCATCCATAGGAGTCCAGGTTTGGGCTGAAACGTACCTGTGAAGAAAACAGAAAACAAGAGAGAAATGCCTCATGGTGGGGCAAGTCCGCAGTATGAGCAAAGAAATGGGTCACAATCAAAAGGTCAGGACCATGAGCAGGTGAGAGAGGTAGGAAAAGGACGCCAATGATGAGGAAGCCGTTGCCAAAGCTGCTTCACTCTATCACAGACCCAGAGTTGGGGGGAGTGGAGAAGTTGAGACCAGGCTCTTACCTTATGAATGGCCTCGAGCTGCAGCCTATCCAGGCAGAGCTGCGAGTGTCCCTCTCCCACCTGCATGCGCAGCATTGGTTCTCTATGGAGCAGATTGTGGAAAGAACCCTGCGAGGGGCAGTGGAGCAGAAAAGAGGAAGCGAGCAGCTCTTTAGTTCTGCATCTCTGTGCTGGGCCTCCTCAGGACGCCCTACTCTACGAGGACTCGATTTTCCACCTTTTCTAATACCACACCCATTCTCCTGGCTTCAACTTACCAAATCTGTATCTTGAAAGAGTAAGTAGTGATGGGTGACAGTTTCTGCGTAAGTTCGAGCCTTGGGAGGATTGGGGACCCCAGACGAGGCAGAGGAGTGGTCTTGGTCTTCAGGACTGTCCTGATAGGGCATCAGATCTGCTTTATAAATAGGCTAGAAAGGAGATCAGGACATTAGGTTCTATAATACTGGCGACAGAATAAGCAAAGAGAATAAACTGTTGTGGTGCCAAGAAAGTGGTATGTTCAACTATCTGTTCAGTTGCAGTAGGGCAGGAAGAGTACACACAGGTCTTCGCTAAGGGATGATAACCGGGCTGGGAGACCTAGTACTCATTTGCATGCTACCAGGAGGGGTTAGGAGGACATGCAGATTAGGATGCGGATCGGTGCTGCTGGTGGCTGTTGATATACGTACAAATCTTCGCTCTACAGGTCGCTTGACATTTATTGGGTTCAGTGCCATATCAGGCAAAATAGCTGCAATGAGTTCCCCAGATATATCTCCTGCGGCTATTGTCCCAAGCCAGTCGGATCCTGAAAGACTCTAATAAGGAGACACAGCATTTATTCATTTGTATACGTATTCAATTCTGTGAACTGGTAATGACTGCATAATCTGAGGGGAGACACACAAACAAAAATGAGTTTATCATACAAAACCCGTAGCCCTGATGATACAGTTACCACATACCTATTTTCTCTTCTTTCTACCCATAACTACTGCCTTTTGCTGACCATCACTAGTGAGAAAATGAGCCATTTTCCTGTATAATGACCACAGAAGAGAGAGAAGCTCACCCAGACAGTGCCTTTTCGAGGAGCAGTGAAGTAGGCCTTGAAACCAAGGTAACCAGCATCAATATAATGGATTCCACAGAGTCCATAACTGGAAAAGAAACAAAACATTTCTTCTCCCTAGTTCCTTGCAGAACTTCAAACTACCCCAGTGAACTACCTTGACCTCCCCTTCCCCCCAATAACCCAACCCATGCTGCACCCCAACCCCTTGAGGGCCTATCCCCAGAACTCCTATCTCCATCTTGCCGTACGAGGCATAGCAGTTGTCCTGAGCCACAGTGACACCATTGTAGGGGAGCAGCCAGGCCAGCTCTGTACTCAAGAAGCGCTTGATAGAGTTTATTGGCTCATATGGTCGTCGAAGGTCCCAGAATTTGATTTTGCGGTCACTCCCTGCAGAGACTAGAAAATGGCTGAAAAGATGGGAGATCAAACATGAACAAATATGGAAGAGTCAGCCTGTTCCAGTCTTCAGCTTCCCCTCCACAGCTCTTCTACTGTATACCTGTTGGCTTTGCACCATTGAAGGGTACGCACAGCTTGGTCATGGGCTAAGAAACACTGGAAAGGGTAGAGCTTTAAGGAGCCATCTGGGAGCCGTATCCGCTGCAGGGGTGAGTTAGTGGGAAGGTTCCAGAAAACGATCATGCCTGAAGGAGGGACAGAATGTGTAGGCGTTAAAGGCAGACAGGTTCTCTCTTCTTTGTTCTTATTTCTATGGGCCCTAGGACCATTTTCTACCCTCAGATCTGAAATACCATGGGGAATCACAATTAGGTACCCAATACTACCTCCATGGTTTAAAGGCTCAATCTGACATTTTAGTCCCAATTTCCATCAACAAAAAAGTAACAGCTAGTTTGCAACTGATGCAATAGGTTAAATGCACACAGTAGCCTCTACTCCCTATTAAATCAAAGTAAGGGACTTTTTAAAAGCATAAACCCTGGGGCCAGCATTGTGGTGTACCAGGTCAATCTACTGCTGACATTGGTATCCCATATGGGTACTGGTTCAAGTCCCATCTGCTCTGCTTCTGATCCAGCAGAAGGTGCTAATGCACCTGGGGAAGCAGCAGAAGACGGCCAAGTCCTTGGGCCCCTGCACTCATGTGGCAGACCAGAATTTCCTGGCTCCTAGCTTCCCTTGGTCGTTGAGGCCATTAGGGGAGTGATGGAAGATTTCCCTCTCTTTCTCTCTTTGTAACTCTGACTTTCAAATACATAAATAAATCTTTTAAAGATAAAAAAAAAAAAATGGGGTTAAAAGGTAAGTTTATTTTGGTGCAGAATTTTTTTTTTTTTTTTTTTTTTTTTTTTTTTTTTTTTTTTGACAGGCAGAGTGGACAGTGAGAGAGAGAGACAGAGAGAGAAAGGTCTTCCTTTTGCCGTTGGTTCACCCTCCAATGGCCGCCGCTGCAGCCGGCGCACCGCGCTGATCTTGGCAGGAGCCAGGAGCCAGGTGCTTTTCCTGGTCTCCCATGGGGTGCAGGGCCCAAGCACCTGGGCCATCCTCCACTGCACTCCCTGGCCATAGCAGAGAGCTGGCCTGGAAGAGGGGCAACCGGGACAGAATCCGGCGCCCCAACCGGGACTAGAACCCGGTGTGCCGGCGCCGCAAGGTGGAGGATTAGCCTATTGAGCCACGGCGCCGGCTCCAGAATTTTTTGAAATTCATGCATAGTTTTTTTATAATACATGGTTCCATGAACTTTAAACCCCTCCTCTTCTTGTATTTCAAAATTTTTTGCACCAAAATAAACAATTTTTTAAAGAAATATTTATTTACTTGAAAGGTAAAACAAGAGAGAAGATATCTTCCACCTGCTGATTCACTCTGCAAATACCCACAACAGCTGGGGTAGACCAATATGAAGCCAGGAGCCTGGAACTACATCCAGATCTCCCCAGTGGACAGAAGGGGCTCAAGCACTTGAGCCACCACGGCTGCCTCCCAGAATGCAGCAGCAGGAAGCTGCACCAGAAGTGGAGGTACCAGGACTCAAAACAGCACTCTGGTACGGGGTAGGCATGTCCCAGGCAGTGGGCTAACCCACAACACCTGTCCCTAAATTTCTTTTAATTCCATTTCCCATGAACATTTTGAAGCATCCTTGTATAACAGATAAAAATAAAGGGCAAATTAACAATAAAAATCTTAAATAGGTGGGAAAGTTACTTGTAGCTTACCCTCTTTTATACATAAAACCCAGGGGGTATAGTACCTATTTGCCTCTCTTGAAAAAAAATGTACTGACAGCTAAGCAATATAAATAATTCAGCAAATGAGGAAGAGATTGAGATAAGAAGACTGATGGAGACAATCATTAAATAACTAGGAATTAGGATCGCAGAACAGTGTCAGGTATCATGCTCCTTAACAAAGTAAGAATAGTACCACCCAAAGCAAAACAGCAGATGGAGAGGGAAGATACAGAAAGAAGGGCAAGAGAGCGAATCTCCTTATCTTCTGGGCACAATCTAAGACTTGTCATTTAAAAACCACCACCACCTCATAACTCCACTGCATCATGGTATTTTTTTTTTCCTTTTTAATCTTAAATTATCTTTAAGGAATACTAGTGGTGAAGCAACATTTATTAGGTGTTTAGCTAATTTTTTCAGTTTGACCTTAGTGTTTTTTCCTTGTCTTTATTAAAGTATAATTAAATTAATACCTTTTCATTTAAAATAGCTTATAAAGCATAATCCCATTTTTATAAATTCTTTCCTTCAATCTTTTCATCTTAGCATACACAGAGAACTGCATGAAATTGTCTACTTTTATATTTTTGATCAGAGAAATTATAGTGACATTTCATTTTTTGTATGTTTTGACATTGCTTGAATATTTACAACTATATAAAATGCGCAACAGTGAAGTGAAAAACAATAACCAGGCCGGCGCCGCGGCTCACTAGGCTAATCCTCCGCCTTGCGGCGCCGGCACACCGGGTTCTAGTCCCGGTCGGGGCGCCGGATTCTGTCCCAGTTGCCCCTCTTCCAGGCCAGCCCTCTGCTGTGGCCAGGGAGTGCAGTGGAGGATGGCCCAGGTGCTTGGGCCCTGCACCCCATGGGAGACCAGGAAAAGCACCTGGCTCCTGGCTCCTGCCATCGGATCAGCGCGGTGCGCCGGCCGCAGCGCGCCGGCCGCGGCGGCCATTGGAGGGTGAACCAACGGCAAAGGAAGACCTTTCTCTCTGTCTCTCTCTCTCACTGTCCACTCTGCCTGTCAAAAAATAAAAAAAAAAAAAGAAAAACAATAACCAAAAACCAAGCATATCTGCAAAAAGCAGTGGCCCCTTTTGTTTTGTTTTGTTTTTACCATTATAATATCCAGCAGCCAGGTGATGGTGGGGCCTGGTAGGCATCCAGGCCAGGCTAAGGCACTGACCACACTCAGAGGGGTCCGTAGCTTGCATAGACCCCACCTGAAGGGTTGCCACACACTGCACCTGCAGAACAGAAGAAGAGGTTAGGAACACCTAGTCTACAACAAAGCTCAAAGCCTTGTTTAACCCAGCAGGATGGGGAGTTTTTCAGAAGTACCAGGAGACTCACTGTGGAATCAGTAAGGTGGGGCTCTCAGAAGCTGGAGCCTCCGTTAAGACAGCAGGTTCCTCACTCACCTTATAGATGGTGGGCTTCATTACATCTGCGAGGGAAGAAGAGCAGAAGAACTGAGCTCCTGATCAGGCCCTGCTCTTAGATCAGACTCTGCCCTCTGGATAATGATCTTCCCCAACCTTTGAGCAAGTCCTCGTCTTCCCACCATCAACTCTGTGATCTGTTTCTCTCTGTCCCCACCTTCTTTCCTTCTGCTACTCCTGAGAGCATTTCTCCTCCTATCAGAATGGTTTAATGCCTCCACTCTGCTCTCTTCTCATCTCTCACCTTCTCCAGACCTTTGCTCGTTCAGCTAGCCCTCTTTCCTCCTACAGTATCTACTTGCTCCCTCCCCTCCTGGGTCATTCCCATATTCCCACAGAAACGCCCTGGATCCTGTCCAAACGAACACAGAGCTTCCATTGCCCTCATTCACTCCAGGCACCTTGCGCATTTGTTGCTTTTCACAGCAAAGCTTCTGGGAGGACTCATCTGCACTTACTGTGTTCCCTTCCTGTCCCCTCCTCTACCCACTCCCACATCAGGACACCAAGTGCAGGACTTCCCTGCCCAGCTCAAACCGGGTGCCCTTTCCTTCTAGTACTCAGTGTTGCCGAGAACAGATAAATTCTACACACGGGAACCACTGTCCCTGACCCCTTCCTCTTCTTGCTCACATCAGCTCTGATTCTCCCTCTGTGCACAGGAAACAGGATGTCTGCATCTGTGTACGTGTGGTGGTGAGCACAGGACAGCCAGATGGTGAGGCAGGGGGATTGGCCCTGTGTCAGCTTCAGCCCTGAGCAGCTTTTTACAGAGCCAATTAACGCTGGCACAGGAAGGGAAAAGGCTTGAGAGTATGGAAGAATGGGGAATGGCGGGCATAAAAGCCACCAGCTGGGACACTTGCATCCTGTATCTGAACACCTGGGTTTCAGTCTTGGTTCTGTTTGACTCCAGCTTCCTGCCAACACACACTGGAGGAGGCAGCAGCTAACGAATGGTTCGAGTAGCTGTGTTCCTATCACCCACAAAGGAGATCTGGATTATGTTCCTAGTTCCTAGCTTTGGCCCCAGCCAAGGGCTGCTGAAGGCATTTGGGGAGTGAACTAGCAGATGGGAGCTCTTAGTTTCTCTGTCTCTCAAATGGGGGGGGAGGCGCAATGCACTAAAGGAGTGCAGTTATAAGACTGCAAAATAGACAGCCCAGGGCTAGCGGCACTGCGGCATAGCGGGTCAACCACCACCTGCAGTGCTGCCATCCCATATGGGCGCTGGTTCGAGACCTGGATGCTCCACTTCTGATCCAGCTCTCTGCTATGGCCTGGGAAGGCAGTAGAAGATGGCCCAAGTTTTTGGGCCCCTGCACCTGTGTGGGAGACCTGGAAGAAGCTCCTGGCTCCGGATTGGCGCAGCTCCGACCATTGAGGCCAATTGGGGAGTGAACCAGCGGATGGAAGACCTCTCTCTCTCTGTGTAACTGTGACTTTCAAGTAAAATAAATAAATCTTTAAAAAAAAAATGACAGCCCAAGAGCAAAAGCATGAGGTCACACAATGGGGGATTGAGGGGAGTGACTGAGCAAGACTGTGTGTTAGGGACTGGGCCCGAGGACTCTCGCTATGACGGACAGGCACTCCTAGCTCTGGCCACTGCCACCACAGTTCCTCTTCTCCTTGCTCTGCTACTCACCTGGAGGTTGCTGTGCCAGTAGGGCCTCAGGATGGGGTAGACTGAACAGCAGCACCTTCCCATCTGAGCAGGCAAGAGCCAGGAGACCCAGCCGGGGGAGGAGAGGAGCCTGGAGGGGAGACAGAGCTAGGCTGACGCTTGCTGCTTGCAGATACCTCTCAAAAAACACACTGAGGCTTAGGTCCCTGAAAACCTCCCTTCTTCCAACTCCAGAGCGCTCCCAAGACTTCTCTGTCCTGGCTCCAAGTCCTAAAGCCATCCCACATTCAACTGAGTACCTTCCGAGGAGTGCTTGGAAGTTCCCATGCTCCACTGGGGCAGAACTTGAGGTCCCAGATGCAGCCGTGGTCACAAGCAATCCCATATACAAAGTGGGCCCTGTTGCCAGGACTAGGGGAAAAACACATTTGGGGACAGTGGGTAGGGAGGGGCCTGGTGCTGCTGGAGCCATGCTCCTAGGTCTTAGCCTAGCCCGGGCCCTTCTCCCCTACCTGCCCAGCCTCCATGCTGCTCTCTCCCTCCCCCACCCACCCATGGCAGTGTCCCAGCCCCACCTTACCAGCTTTCTTGTTGCAAGGTCCCAAGACCCCACAGCTGCAGCAGCCCAGGGCCTGAATGAATCTGGCTCAGTGAGTGTGTTTCATTCATGTCTGGGCTGGAGAAAAGGGCCACATACTGCGAAGCTGCTGCCCCCTCCGGCACAGGGCACCAGTCTAGAGCCCAGAGTGGGCCGCCCGTGAAGAAGGACACATCCCAACGCTCTGGGTGTGCTGTGATGGAGCTAAATCTAGAGGAAAGTCAAAGGTGAGATGAGGAAAGCAGTTAGTAAGAGGTAATGAGGACAGGATGGGAGTCCAGCTGAGATGGTGTGAGCTGCATTCATCCAGAACAGCCTGCAGATGAGAACATCCTTGGCCACATAGTCTTCCTCCTTCCCCTCCCAATCTGTGTAGCTCCAGCTCATCTTCAAAGACGATGGGCTGTGCATTCTGGCCTCCTGCAGTATTCCCTCTAGGGCTCATCCATCCAGTTCCACTGGAGTAGATGCCACCTTGTAAACCGGTTTCACCCTAAATCTTCCCAGTTTCCCTCCGTCTGGCTGGCAGCACCAAGCACTACAAATCAGAGGGTTGATCAGCTGTAGCCAGGACTCCCATCCTTGGAACCAACTGGACCAGCACCAGTGGGAGGACAGGGCTGTTTCCTGTTTCTGAGAACCAGAACAAAGCCCGAGGTGCATCTTCACCTGTTTATTCTATAGAGTGTGCCATCTTCAGGAAGCCCTTCCCGTTGTACAGAAAACAGAGGCGACTTCTCCTCCTGGGGCAGGTAGGGCGCTGCCTCACTGGCGGAAGGCAAACAACAGCTTGAATTTGGAAGCTTCACCCATCCCAGAATTCTCACCATACATCCAGAGTCCTCTGTGACTCTTCCATCTCCAGTGTCACCCCCTCCTCGCCTTCAGGAATGTTGCTTCAACTTACAGCTCCGATAACAAGTGCCACTTCCAGGCTAAAGGAATCCATTCAGCAAACTCCCAGTAGGAATGCTTCTGCTCTCGGCTGGAAAAACAAAAGAGGCATCAGTGGAGCCGGAGGAGAGATTCTAGAGCAGTGCTGCCCAATACAAGCCCCTACGAGGATGCAAAGGCAAGTGGGCTGCTAGCTGCAAGCAGCCCCTAGGCACCTGCAATGTGGCTGCTGCAGCTGTGCAACGAACTTTTCATTTCATTTCATTTGAACTACACAGCTCCAGCCTCTGGAGCAGTGTCTTTTAGCAATGAGCATCACTACTGTGCCCCACCTGTGGGTGTGTCTCTTTCTTCCATGCCCCCTTCTGGACTGTCCGTGAGCTTCCCCACTGCCCCTCTCCCCCCAGGCCCCCAGTCCCCCAGTCCCCAGCCTCACAGGTCCTTGGTGAGATGGAGGCATTTCCACACAGGCGCCATGATGTGATTGGGTAAGCCATTGAGAGCCATCCCCCGGCAGTGTGGTTTCTGTTTCTGAGGATCAAATTGAGGAGAATGTGAGGAGAGGATTTTCCAGGTTGGAAACAGTCCCAGAAGATAGCTTTCTTCCCCAGCGTTTACTTTCCTTGGCATTACCTGCCCTCCAACCACTGACTATCAGCATCTTTAAAAGATCATGTTTTGACTACTACAATGATTTCTCCAGGCTTTTCTTGGAACACCTGTCCTGTGGGGGAGTCTCTCCCTGCTTCTTCAACCTCTCCTCCAAGGCTCTTTCTCCTCTGATGTGTCTGCTGTGTTATGCCGTTTGCGTCTCACCTTTCCACATACACTCCTGGTAATTCACACCATGCCCAGGGGTTAGACTACCATCTTCATGTGTGATTATCAAGTTTACATCTCAGTAAATGTAAACTTGACTCTGTCTCAACTTTTCTAAAAGTACTATAACCACATGGTGTTGTGCCAAGCCAGTGGCAATCAGTAAAAAATCAGCAAAGTTCCAGCCTTTAAAATTTTGATATTTTGTTCAACATGGATTTATTGCATTAACTTTGCCTTAAAAAAATATTTGCATCGAGGGGCCAGCATTTTAGCATGGCAAATTAAGCTGCTGCCTATGATGCTGGCTTCCCATATGGGAGCAGAGTGCCAGTTAGAGTGCTGGCTGCTCTGCTCTCAGATCCAGCTCCCTGCTAATGTGCCTGAGAAAGCAGTGGAGGATTGTCCAGCTGCTTGGGCCCCTGCGCCCCTGCCACCCACATGGGAGACCTAGATGGAATTCCAGGCTCCTGGCCATTTGGGGAGTGAACCAACAGATGGAAGATATCTTTCTCTTTCTTCTTCCCCTTCTCACTCTCCCCTTCAAACAGACCTTTTTTTTCTTTTTAAAGAACTATTTGAAATACCACTTATCTGGATGACTGCATTTCAGTGCTCCCTTTGATGTTGTACCTAAGGCAAGTGAGGACCTGGTCCCATATATACAACTGGCAATCAGGTGTCTCCAGCAGGATGGCCCATGGCCTAGAGGCACGTCCAAGTGAATTCAGTATCTCCCCTGCCTACCAGCCCCCCTCCCACTTCCCCATGTTTCAAGCTCAGAGCACCATGCTACCACCTTTTTTACTGATTTCCATCTAAACTGGAAACTTCTATTCAACTCCTTCCTTTCCCCCTACTCCAAGCCCTACTAATTCCCTTACACAGCTCTTCAATCTGCCCCCACCTTCTCTTCCTTCACTGCTTGGTCCAGGATCACTGCAGTTGTCTTCTAACTGCAAACTGCAGTTCAACCTTAAAATAGGTTGAACTGATCATGTTATCTCCCTCCCTCCCTCCCTTCCTTCTTTTTGCCTTTTTAAAAATTTTATTTATTTGAAAGTCAAAGTTACAGACAGAGGGGAGAGAGATCGTTCTTCCATCGGCTGGTTCACTCCTCAAATGGATACAGAGGACGGGACTGGGCCAGACCAAAGCCTTATTTGGGTCTCCCACATGGGTGGCAGGGGCCCAAACACTTGGGCCATTTTCTGCTGTTTTTCCTAAGCTATTAGCAGGGAACTGGATCAGAAGTGGAGCAGCCAGGACACAACCGGTGGCAGCTTTCCCCGCTATGCCACAATGCTGGCCCCCAGGCTATTTTTCTACTTAAAAAAAAAACTTAGAGTTTCTGTTTGGGATGATGAAAAAGTTCTGCAAATGGATAGTGGTGATGGTTGTATGACATGGCATATGCACTAAATGCCACTGAATTGGACATTATTTATTTAAATGGTTAAAATAGTATATTTTATGTTATGTATGTATTATCATGATTTAAAAACAAACAAAAACAATTCTTGTCGGCTCTTACCAATCTTAGTTCTTTCATCCTGTCTAGTTCAACCTCCCCCACACTACCCAGGTCTGATGCTGCAGACACAACCGATTTCTGAGGAAGCTGCCCGCTCCGGGAAACTTCTCTTGCCCCTTCAAGACGCAAGCCAGCAGGCCTCTGTGAAGCCCAGCAGTGAACTCCCCTTTCTCTACAGCCTACTGCATTTGGTTCACCCCCAGTGGAGTGCTCATGACACCACAAGCCTTGTGAAGCAGGCCTTTCACTTCTGTTTCTTAACAGAGAACAGTCAATATACAAACAAATACACCTCTCCCTCTGCAACCTGCCCAATATTTTCTCAACTGTTCTGACATTGTCCCCTTCCTGTGTCACTTGTTTTGGCTACCACAGTTACCAGGCCAAAGCTATCTGTCTCGGTGTCTTGCTGACCCCGCTAAAAATCCTCTTACTTCCCCACTCACTTTCTTGTGCGTTCAGCTTACCGCTGAGGTGGACCCTCTCGGGGTGCTTCGGGGCGCTACGGGCTCGGGTTCTGATGAACCCTCACTTGGGCCCTCACTTTCTTCCTCATCTTCAGCCGCAACCTGGAGAACAAAGTCTTCGTCCTGTCTGGCATTATCTGCCTCTTCTCCACCTTGACAGGCAGCCTGTGGCGGGCTCTTCTTCGGTGCGGTGGGGCTGCCCACCTTGGGGTTCTCAGGACAGGTCACTGGGGCTGGCAGGGTTGTCGAGAGCTCTTCAGCCAGTTCCTGAAGATACAGAAGTGCCCTGTGGGACAGGGCAGAGTCAGAGCCGCACTCGCCAACACCTAACTGAGAGCCCCCTCTGCCAGACTTGTTTGCTTCTTATCTCACTGGATCCTCCCAGTACTCTGCGAACCAGCTCCTCATTCCCCCCTCTCCTCTCACAGATAAAGAAAAAGAAAAAGGAAAAGAAATCCAGGAAAGTTAAGTGGAAATCAGGAAAGTTCAGACAACAAATGTGGAAACTGGACCCAGGTCTTGACTCCAAGTCCAGTGCACTTTTCACTCTACCACAGTCCAGAACACACAGGGCAAGGGGAAAGAACAGAAGGGTACGCATATACTGATACACGCCAGGAGGCAGAATACCCACAAAGACCTGGCGATGTTTGTAAAACGTGTGAGGGGACACAAGGTACAGAAAGAAACCCATTAGATAAGCAGAGTCGGCAGCACACACAAAGCAAGCTGCTGTGGTAAGAACTAAAGGATCGTCCCAGCCACCTAGCATCCAAACACCGCCCCTCCCTGCTTGCTTACCTGATACCTCACAGTCTCCACACCTCTTCAGTGTCTGTCCCCCACCAGTCCCTTCTCCCCAGCCCCCCTCCACCAAGCTGTGCCCCATAATCCTTACACTTGGGCAGCCCTTCGGCGGGGTCGTTCCCCAGAAGGGGTCTCAAAGTCCTCAGGGGGCCTCTTTGGAGGTGGAGACTCTGGCTGCTCTAGGCCTTTGGACAACTTCAGCAGTAGCAGCTCTGCCTTGGACTTTCGCCCTCGTTTCTTAGGCATGGGGGTGGGTAGAGGGTTGGATTGATCTAACAGACCAGGAGCCAGAGGGGTTGGTGGAGGGTTAGGCAGTTGGGGCCTTTTGGGGCCTTTTCGTGTCCTACCACCTTTCTTCCGGCCAGGCTTTGAGGCCCTAGGCTTTGAGACCTTTGACATCTCTGAAGAAAGATCTGTAGAGAAGAATATGGGTCTGTGAGATGGGACTAGAGCTCAAACCTCTCTGGAATAGATTACACTGTACCCAGGGTTGTAAGATCCTGTGAGCTCAACCTGCTCCTTTCATCTTAAGCTAAGCCCGGGTAGACACAAGGGTAGAAAACCGACGTGCGTACCTGGCTGTCCGGACAGGCTGCAGAGGCTTTCCTGCTCAGCAGGGAGCCCCATCTCTTCAGGAGAACCCTCACATCCAGACAAAGGCGTGGGCAGTGACATCTCCAGGGAAGCCTCCGTGCTGGTCGCTTCTGAACAGGCCTTGACATCAAGCTGGCTTAGCGCCTCTTGTCCAGGACAGTCTACCACAGTCATGTTCCCCACGGGGCCGGCCTCCCCCAGGGCAACACAGCCGACCCCGCAGGTATCCATCAGCACCCCCCAATATGGCTGCCCCTGCACACAGAGACATACAAATGAGTAGAAGGTAGAAGCTCAGATTTTCTTCTGTTTTCCTGTCTTTTCTCCCCTCACTCTCACAACAGAAACCCAAGTTCTGTGATCATTCATTCATTCAATAGTAATTACCAAGCATCTTCTATGTCAGATACTGTTCTAGGAACTGGTTAGTATGCCAGTTAAGCAGGTAAGACTCCTGTTCTCATGGAACTCACATCTGGTAAAGCAGACAACAGACAGTAAACAATCACAAAGCCATTTGTTAAATGCTTACCATGTGCCGAACACTATAGTGTTGCATATACATCGTTGAACTCAATGCTCACACATTCTCTTGTATGGATACGGCAGTAAATGCCACTAATTTACCTCCTCTTCTTGAAACCCAATACAATGAAACACACATTCCCACCCCCAGAAAGAGAGACAAAGAAGAAGTTATTATGCATCTAGGAGAGGGTGAGTTTCCTAAAACAAGCTATAAAGAATGGCTGACAAAAACTAGAAAATGTAGGCCACACACAAGAGAGCTGCCTAGAGCTAACACCCATCCATGAATACCAGCCAAGGACAGAGTGATTAAAGACCATGGAACTCAGCCTTATCACCTGCATGGGGGAGGTGGGCAGGCTAGGAGGAAATTAAGGAATGTCTTACTACAGCAAGAGAACTTTTTCACATTGAAGAACGGACTTGATGGTCTCAAATTTTTTTCTCCAAACCCAGAAGGTCACTGTGCAACTTGAACCAAAGTACCCAAACTGACAGAAATAAAACACTGACCATCAAGCCAAAATCCTGAGGTCTGATTTTTGGCCAAATTATCCTGCTTGTCTGTGGCAAAGGGGGAGAAATGGTTCAAGCCCCAGGAAGGAATTCCCATAGGTTCGTGTAAGTCTGAGATAATGAACCCAGCAAGCTCAGTGGAAAGGAGTGCTAATACAAACATCATGAGAAATACACAAAGTAAAATTCCCAGCTACCTTCCCTCTTCAGGGAAGCTACCCTAGACAGATGACAAACTCTAACAATAGTCCATCTTCTAATTCAAGTGCTCAGGACACGCTGCAACTTCATATGCTAAAGGTACAATATAACAGAGCCAAGGTAAACAGAGGTAACCAAAAATCTGCCCCGACTGTTTTTTGGCAAGTAGTAATCCCTGATTGAAAGAACTACCGCATTCAAACACAATGAGAAACAAAAAGGATGGAATGTGAGACAACAGAAAGATGGAAAGGTAAAAAGAACTGCTGCAGAAAATAAGAAAATTTCCAACAAAAAAAGAGATTATGGAATCCAAAATAGAAGAGAGCAAGAGGAAATAAAACAATGGCAAGGTAAAAATGAGCTGGCCGTCACAGGAAAGAAACTGAGTAAAAGAAATCATAGAAATGAAAACCACAGGAGAAACAACAAATAGAACTGACATTGCTGGAAAGCAGCAGTGACACGAAGGACAGATTTAAAATCAGACTGTAAAGGGAGAAAAATGATTAATGAGAAGATGACAGATGGGAAAGAGAAAATAGGGCACTAACATGAATAACTGATGTTCCTCCAGAAAAGAGCTAAAAACTAGGCAAAGGAAAAAACTTCAAAAATTTAACAAGAGAACTTTCTATGATAAAATTTTTTAAAAATTTCTTGAAATAAAAAAGGAGGTATAGGGGCTGGCTGTGGCACAGCAGGTTAAAGCCCTGGCCTGAAATGCAGGCATCCCATATGGGTGCCGATTCTAGTCCCGGCTGCTCTTCTTCCCATCCAGCTCTCTGCTATGGCCTGGGAAAGCAGTGGAAGATGGCCGCAGTCCTTGGGTCCCTGCACCCATGTGGGAGACCCAGAAGAAGCACCTGGTTCCTGGTTTCAGAATGGCATAGCTCCGGTCATTGCGGCCATCTGTGGAGTGAACCAGCGAATGGAAGACCTCTCTCTCTGTCTCTACCTCTCTCTGTAACTTTATCTTTCAAATAAATAAAATAATTTTTTTTAATAAAAAGGAAGTGTAGCAGGTTAGGCTGCTGCTTGCAATCTGCATTCCATATTGGAGCCAGCTAGTCTTAGCTGCTCCACTTCCGATCCAGTTCTTTGTTAATGCATCTGGGAAGGCAACTGATAATGGCCCAAGTGCTTGGGCCCCTGCCATCCACATGGGAGACCTGCATGGAGTTCCTGGCTCCTGACATTAGCTATTATTATTATTATTATATTTATTATATTATTATTAATTGGGGAGGGAACCAACAGATGGAAGATTTCTGTCTCTCCTTTTGTCATTCTGCCTTCAAAAAAAAAATTATTGAAATAAACATATCACAGCTGAAGAAACATAGCTCTTACAAAGGGAAAAAAAAATTCGCCAGCCTCAGAGTCCTCATAAATACTTGCAGGCAGAAGATGCAGAAAAGGAGAGGACTGAGAGAATTCTCTACTGAACTGAGAGATCATTCATGCAAAGGCAACAGGATGCCATTCTGAACAAGCAAGCCTCTAGGGATTACAGCATGCGCACACCCTTACTTAAAGCAAAAGAACACAAAAACATCCCCCTCCCCCCAAAAAACTTCACTTGAAAACCTAACAGAGAAAGATTAATCAATATGAAGGAAGAATTTTCTAATGGGGAAGCTGTGGTATGAAACTGGCAATAGGCATTTAATAAGCAAACTTGAGTCTAGACTTCCACGGTAACCACGGATATAAAGTGAATTCTAACTTGAAATCTTTAAAGGTCCCACAATGTAAAAAGATTAAGACAAAAAAAGGTTTTTTAATTTTGCTTCTACAGTTGATAAACTGAAAATACAGACTTTAATCATTCAGAAATTTAATAAAGCTGAGAATTCTGTATTATACCCAAAATACTCAGTAGGTCAAAAGAACCAGAGAATTTTTTTTAAAAAGATAGCAATAAAGGATCTAAAATAAATGAAACAATAAAAAAGGAAAAAGATCACAGAAAATAATCAAAACATATCATATCAGATAAACTCATGCATCAAAAAAAAAATTCAAATTGAGTTTCAAAGCCAAATAACTATTTGCTTAACAAACATCAGTGAAAGAACTCAATAAGCTGAAAGACATGACCTAAAATACACAAACATAAGCATAAAGAAAATAGGAGTTTTGATGGTTGAATTCACCGAAGTTGAATTCAGAAAACAATATTAAATGGAATAAAAATAGAGCAATTTACTATGAACAAAAGTTCAAGTCATAAAAGCTATAAATGCTACTAAGCTATAGATGTCACATAACATAGCCTCAAAACACGTAAAGCAAAATCTTCAAGAAACAGAATAACTTCCTTTAATCACTGACAAATTAAGTGAAGATATGAATAAAGTAATTACTGACCTCTATACTGGTCAAGGTTGAGTTGCAAAGAACAGAATCCTCTCCAGCCAGTTCAAGCACAAAGGAGCTCACTACAGGCCATTAAACAGCTCAGATCAGTGGTTCTCAAAGCGAGGTCCCAGAAAAGCAGCAACCGCATCACCTACCCCACACCTATGGAATCAGAAACGCGGCATGGGGCCAGCACTCTGTTTGAAGAAGCCCTTCAGGGACTCTGATGCACACCAAGTTTCAAACAACTCCCACACACGATCACTGGGAGGATCACGGTGTGGAAGCAGTTCAGGGACAACTGCTTGTTGCTTTTACAGCTGCTGGTGCCAGAACCAGATGGCCTCTCCTATACCACGCCAGGAAGCCATCCACTGAATTAAAAAGCCTCTGCCACAGCTGACAGTTCCACAAACAAGCCATCTCCGCAATAACTGGAAAGTGACCTGACTATGGGGAGAAGCCGCTTCTCTGGCTCCCAGCGTAGAACCAGACACTGTCGCCATCTGCTCAAACAGAATGCATGCCTCCTACCTCACCTGCTTCTCTCCTCACTAAGCTTGATTCCAAATTCAAGTTCTCCAAGAGCTCATTTGATTTGCAAACCTAAAATCATATTCAGAATCTTGGGCCCCCAAAAAATCAAAATAAAACACCTCCAGGAAATGCAATTTCTAGCTTTCTAAGCTCTCAAGCGGAGCTTGCTCATTCTCTCACATCCCACTTACCTCACAGTGAAAGTGGGATCAGTGTCTTCTCAACTGTCTCCATGCTACTTCCAGACCAACAGTGTCTCCCTCCTTGTAAAAACCTTGTTCCTTAGGCGTTCCTAACAGTCAGCCAAACCACCACTGCTGCTTAGTTCACTGACACCTGAACCTTGTCGTCATCCCAAACCTCTCAGCCTCCAAAGCCACTGAGACATTCTACTATCTTACAATCTCCCCGTCATCCTAGCTACACTGCTCAACTACTGTATCTCATCAATCAACCACATGGAAGCTGCTACCCCTTGATCTAACTTCTCCCCACGTCAGCCCAACCCTACCTGGCTTAGCTTCCCCCATTTCAGTCAGACTTTTGTTGATATTGTGAACTCCCCTTCTTGTCGTTTTGCTCCGCACGACTGGCAGACGTCAAGCCCTGCACGAGTCCAGCCAGGTGTCTTCCCCACGGACGCAATGGAACTGCCAACCACTGGCAAGCCCACTGTCTGGCAGCTCTCACATACTCTCTCTCCTCTAACCTCTGACCCTCTGGTTCTCTGCAATGACTTCGATTCCGACTTCTGAACAAAACCCAAAACCACTGGGTGGGAAATACTTCAGCTTGTCAAGTAAGCTGACCCTTCCTGCATCCGAACCCTTATCCACTCCCTCAGACTAACCCTCCCCCCACCTCCTAAGGAAACCGGCGTCATTGATGGTCCTTTTCTTCCCCACTGGCTCCTTCCAAACAGCACTTGACTATGTTTATGCTCTTTACACACACGCACACGACTACCTTTCAGCCCATGTTCCCCCTCTAACTACTATCTTTCTCCTCTCACAAACTTCTGAAAGAACTGATAGTTCAATTTCCCTGCTTCATCACGACTGGGATACTTTCCTGCAACTCATCACCAAAGCTAAAATCATCAATAACCACCGTGTCATTAATCCAATGGCCCCTTCTCAGTCCCGTGTTATTAGCCCTCTCAACAGCACGACACTATCCACCATTCCTTTTCCTTGAGAAGCAATTCAAGTGTAGTAGCCTTCCAGATTTTTACAAATTTTCCTTAGTTCTTTACAGTTATGCTATGCTCACCTATTTGGCAGCTTTGTAAATGTACCTCTTTGTCTTTCCAAAAATATTCAACTTAGTTTGCTTTTTTAAAAACTTTTAAAAAAATTTAGTTGATACAAAATACTCATCAATATGGGTAGAACATAAATAGCAACATAACAAACTCCTGTGTATCTACCATGTTTCAAATCAGTTTTTTTGTCTTGTTTTTTGTTGTTGTTGTTTTTATTTTTTTTATTTTTATTTTTTATTTATTTTTGACAGGCAGAGTGGATAGTGAGAGAGAGAGACAGAGAGAAAGGTCTTCCTTTGCCGTTGGTTCACCCTCCAATGGCCGCCGCGGCCGGTGCGCTGCGGCCGGCGCACCGCGCTGATCCGATGGCAGGAGCCAGGTGCTTTTCCTGGTCTCCCATGGGGTGCAGGGCCCAAGCATTTGGGCCATCCTCCACTGCACTCCCTGGCCACAGCAGAGAGCTGGCCTGGAAGAGGGGCAACCGGGACAGAATCCGGCGCCCCAACCGGGACTAGAACCTGGTGTGCCGGCGCCGCTAGGCGGAGGATTAGTCTAGTGAGCCACGGCGCCGGCCAGTTGTTGTTGTTTTGACAGGCAGAGTGGACAGTGAGAGAGAGACAGAGAGAAAGGTCTTCCTTTGCCGTTGGTTCACTCTCCAATGGCTGCTGCTGCCAGCGCGCTGCGGCTGGCGCACCGCGCTGATCCGATGGCAGGAGCCAGGTGCTTCTCCTGGTCTCCCATGGGGTGCAGGGCCCAAGCACTTGGGCCATCCTCCACTGCATTCCCGGGCCACAGCAGAGAGCTGGCCTGGAAGAAGGGCAACCGGGACAGAATCCGGCGCCCCGACCGGGACTAGAACCCGGTGTGCCAGTGCCACAAGGCAGAGGATCAGCCTAGTGAACCGTGGCGCCGGCCTCAAATCAGTTTTAACAAATGGTTTCTTTCACACTAAAATGTCTTTATAACTTAAATATATATATACACACAACATTTATATAAAGACAAACCAACTGAGATTTTAAAAATATGAGGACAAACACAGCTCTCAGTAAGCACTGCAGTGAACTAATGGAGCAGAGTGAGCAGACCCGCAGTGCCTCACAAGCTTCAGGACCATGGGCATCTGTATGCTTGACAGAGGAAATGCAAAGTGTCCTTGAACAGGGGGCTAGTTAAATGGAGAGCAGTTAAGAGAACCTCCGTGTGTGCCCCAAAGACTTCCTATTTAATGAACACTTGGATTACAACACTATTGGAAACAATGCTGCAATGAACATTCTGCTACAGAGCTCTTCATTAACGAGGAATTATCTTTCTAGAATAATCACCTGAAAGTAGAATTAACGTACTGGTTGAAGGGTACACATTTAAAAGGGTTTCACTTTTCAGAACTTATTTGAGAGGCGGACAAAGAGCTCCCATCCACTGGTTCACTACCCAACTGCCCTCAAGGGGAGGGTTAGGCCAGGTCAAAGCTGGGAATTCCATCCAGGTCTCCCACATGGGTAGCAGGGACTCAACCACTTGATCCATCACCTGCTGCCAACCTGGGATGCCTTAACATGAAGCAGGAATTGGAAGTGGAGCCAGGATTTGAACCCCAGCACTCTGATATGGGATATAGGTGTCCTAAACGGCATCCTAACCATTAGATTCAACACCTGCGTCTCAAATAATTCACCAGAAAGAAAACCTGCTTATACTCCCACCAACCATTCATCAGTCCTTTTTACCACATCCATGACAATCTTCCTTATTTTTGCCAATCTGATATAAGAGAATGCTGCCCTACTATATTTAATTGCATTGTCCTCAGATAACTGATGTTAGCATGTTGTATTTGGACACCTCTACCCTTTTAAATTACCTGTACTTACCATTTGACTGTATTTCTATAGGGATTTTTCCCCTGTATTCAGCTGTGGGAGTTGCTATTCATGTTGCAAATATTTTCTTTCTATATCCACTTCTAACCGTGTTAATGTTTCTTGCTAAACTGAAGTTTTTAAATTTTTATGAGTAAAATTTCTCAATCTTCTCCGTCATAGCATCTGTTTGTCTTAAAAAGGTATTGGGGGCCGGCGCCGCTGCTCACTAGGCTAATCCTCCACCTAGCGGCGCCGGCACACCGGGTTCTAGTCCCGGTCAGGGCGCCGGATTCTGTCCCGGTTGCCCCTCTTCCAGGCCAGCTCTCTGCTGTGGCCAGGGAGTGCAGTGGAGGATGGCCCAGGTGCTTGGGCCCTGCACCCCATGGGAGACCAGGAAAAGCACCTGGCTCCTGGCTCCTGCCATCGGATCAGCGCGGTGCGCCGGCCGCGACGGCCATTGGAGGGTGAACCAACGGCAAAAGGAAGACCTTTCTCTCTGTCTCTCTCTCTCACTGTCCACTCTGTCCGAAATATAAAAAAAAAAAAAAAAAAAAAAAAAAAAAAAAGGTATTGGGGCCGGCGCCCCGGCTCACTTGGCTAATCCTCCGCCTGTGGCGCTGGCACCCCAGATTCTAGTCCCAGTTGGGGCGCCGGTTCTGTCCTGATTGCTCCTCTTCCTGTCCAGCTCTCTGCTGTGGCCCGGAAAGGCAGTGGAGGATGGCCCAAGTGCTTGGGCCCTGCACCCACATGGGAGACCAGGAGGAAGCACCTGGCTCCTGGCTTGGATCAGCGCAGCATGCCAGCCGTAGCGGCCATTTGTAGGGTGAACAATGGAAGGAAGACCTCTCTCTCTAACTCTGCCTGTCAAATAAAAAAAAAAATTAAAAAAAAAAAAAAAAAAGGTATTGCAATGGGCATTTAGCCTAGCAGTTACGACACCTCCATTCCACAACACACAGTACCTGGGTTAGAGTCCCGACTCTGACTCCTGCTTCCTGTTTAATACAGACCCCAGGAAGCAGCAGTGATGGTTCAAGCGACCATGTGGGAGACCTGGACTGAGATCCTGGCTCCTAGCTTTGACCCACTTGCAGGCATCTGGGAAGCGAACGAGTGGTCAAACCGCTCTTTCTGCCTCTTCAATAAATTCTTAAAATGGTTCTTTAAAGATACTTCCCACTCCACTGAGAAGTCTCTCATTCTCCTGTACTGGCTTTTTCTCGTTTTGGAAATTACATGTAGCTCCTAAGTTCACTTGAAGTGTTGGTGTCGAGAGATACCGGCATTTACTAATGTAGTATCTACCTTCCCTGGCGGTTTCACAGGTCAGGGATCTTACCCATCTGACTCACTACTGCATGCAGGTGCAATCATTATCCCTTAACATCTACGGACTGGATGAGTAAATCCCGAATACCATTAACAGCTCTCCAGGGATCTGCCTCTCCAGGAAGGCAGCAGCAGGGTGGGTGGTCAATTTCTATTTACAACCTTACAAATTTTGGACACACAGTACAGAAAGGGAGGATTAGTAAATTCATACTAGAGTTCACAGAAATCTCCCATTTGCACCCCAACCTGTTTCGTTTCCTTGCTGCATCCAACCCGCCAGCCTGACCTCCCCACCAAGGAAATAATTAATCTGCCCCAAAGTAGTGGATTACTTTAAGCACACTATTTCTTAATCTGTTTCCCAAAGTGTTACTATGGTATACTGGTGGCATGCAGGATATTTTTAAAAATGTATCAGAGTGTGAGTTGGGTTCATCTGCTGGTTCACATCCCTCAAATGTCTATGGCCAGGACTATACAGAAGCTGGGAGCTCAATCCAGGTCTCCTATGTAGGTGGCAGGGACAAAACTACTTGAGCTGTCACCACTGCTTCCCAGGGTCTGCTTTAGCAGGACACAAGTCAGAATGGAACCCAGGAATTGGGCTATGGAACATGGTTGTCTTAGACATTAGGCTATATACCCCTGTGGGAGATGATTCTAATGGTACAAAAATAGACGTTTTCATTTGACTAATTGTATTTTTATTTATTTTATTTTTTATTTGAAAGGGAGAGGAAGTGAGGGAAGAAAGGAGGGTGGGCAGCCCGGAGGGAGGGAGGGTGAGAGAGAATAGCTGGGGCTGAGTCAGGCCAGAGTGAGGAGCCTAGAACTTAACTTGTTTCCTACGTGGATGGCAGGCACTCAAGTAGTTGAGCCACCACCTGCTGCCTCCCTGGGTGAGCATTAGCAGGAAGCTGAAATGGGAAGCGGAGCTGGGATTCAAACCAGGCACTCAGAGGAGGATGCGAGCATCCCAGGCCGATCCTAACCACGGCCAAACGCCCACGCCAAATTGTGCTTTTTATTTTTACCTTAATAAAAGCTACAGCTAGCCCATGATACCGACGCTTCGTCCGTATTAGAGATGTAATGCATTTAAATTCGGAAAATAGACATTTAAACCACACAGTTGATAAGGAGGGCAAAAACAGCGACGATAGCTTAAGAACGACTGAAATGTGTATAACAATAGGCCGCGGGTGGCCAAGAGGTTTGGCCGTTCGCTACACGCCTCCGACAAAGCCAGTTACCTCCGGGGGAGCTGAAGTCGCCACCTCTGCTTCCCCAGCAGCCAGCCAACCTGCCGCGGGAATAAAAGGACGAGACAGGAAACATAACTGGCCCTTGGCTGCGCCAATGGGCTTGCAGCGCGCGGGGCACAACCCCCGGGGTTAGAGGCGCCTCGGGGAGGAAGAGGCTGGGACGCGACAGAAAGAGCAGATTGGCCCGTCACCATTGTAGGGGCCGCCGTCTGTCCTCCCCCAGGGCTGGCCGTGGGGCAGCTCTGGCAACCAGCCTGCGCGAGAGGCGAGCCCTGATTTTCCCGAGACTAAGGAGCACCGTGGGCTGGCCGGGCCCGAGAGACGGAGCGCCAGCCGCGCTGAGGCCGAGGCTCCGGCTGGCGCGTAACGGACACCGCGCTGGGGAGGAGGGCGAGACCCGCGGCTTGCAGAGAGGGGGGATGCACACGGCGGCCTCGAAGGGAAGGCAGGCGGTGGGGGCGTGATGGTTTCCTGTAGGCGCGCAGGGCTCGAGGGCGCGCTGCTGTGCGCAGGGCGGGAGAGTGGGGCCAGGAGCTGGTTCCCAATATCTTAGTGCTACGGCAAAAGAAGGGGACGAGTAATCGTGGGGGCCCCCGCACACCCCGCTGCGGTACACTCACCCTTGCCAAAGTCCTTCCGGAAGTCCAAGTTCGAAGATGGCGCCGCCTGCTCGGTCGCGGTCTTATGACGAAAGCCCGCAGCTGCTTTTCAATTGCCCCCTACCCCGTGCACAAGGTAAACACGTGAGCCCCGTCGGGCGTCCGTGCCCGACTAGGTTTTCTCTCAGACTCCGTAGTCCATCATGCAGCGCGCGCCAGCTGCGGCGCCCCCCAAGCCCGCGGCCGGCCGGCGCGTCTTCCGCCGCGCGGGGCCTTCTGGGAATTGCAGTGTTCCCGAAGCGGAGGCGGACGCCTGCGCGGCCTCGCCGGCTCCGCAGGTGTGCGGGCGCCGGGCCCCGGGCCCGTTTGGAGCCCTTCCGTGCAGAGTGCGTGGCTTGTGGCGGGCAACGGCAGGGCTGCAGCCCCGGCGCTGTCCGAGCCCGAGACTGGCTCAGAGACGACCCCTCGCCGCCTGCTGCCAGAGGATGCCGCTGGCTCCTGCCACCGAGGGAGTCAGGGACAGACCAGGGACAGGAAGAAAATGAAAAGGGGTTTGGGAGGAAGGCAAGAAACGGAAGGGGCGAAAGTAGAAATGCCTCCACGAGCGCCCCGTCCCACGCCACCCTTGAGAGCTGGCCTGCGGTGCAGGGGCGGGGTGTGCAGCCAGTGCCCGTCCCTCTCTGAGGCGCGCAGGGCCTGCAAGTGCTCAGGGGTCCACATATCCAGAAGTGGGTGCAAGGAAGCCGGGGAGTAACCCAATCTAACTTTCCCAAAAATCTCACACATTACATTACCTTGGTTGCGTAAGGCATGTAAGAAAAGTGTACGAGGAGTATAGAGATAGTGGACTCGCGATTCTACTGTTCCCAAAGGAATTCGTTTCTTCTCTGCCCTCTTGGGTCCTCAATGCTTGTGTAATGGATAGCTCTGTTTCAAACACTGAACTTCTGTAGTTAATAAATTTCTTTATTGCTGCTGCCCCAGATTAGGCAATCTTTGACTTAAATTACTGGAGGGGGCAGCACTGTGGTGCAGCGGGTTAACACCCTGGCCTGAAGCGCCAGCATCCCATATGGGTGTGTGCTCTAGTCCGGCTGCTCCTCTTCTGATCCAGCTCTCTGCTATGGCCTGGGAAAGCAGTAGAAGATGGCCCAAGTCCTTGGGCCTCTGCACCCACGTGGGAGACCTGGGAGAAGCTCCTGGCTTCAGATCGGCTCAGCTCCAGCCATTGCAGCCAACTGGGGAGTGAACCATCAGATGAAAGACCTCTCTCTCTCTCTCTCTCTCTCCTCTGTGTAACTCTTTCAAATACATAAATAAAATTTTAAAAAAATAAAATTAAAAAAAATTACTGCAAATATTTTTTAGATGAATAGTTGTATTTATTTCTGGAATAAGGTTAACATGGCTCAGAATTCAAGGAATGGGACAGCGTCGGGTGCAGTTATTACCACACTGCTTGGGTTCCAGTCCCACTTCTGCTTCCTGTTAATGGGCACCTTGGGAGGCAGCAGATGACGACTCAACTGGTTGGGCCCCTGCCACCCACATGGGGAGACCCCAGATTGAGTTTTTGACTCCTGGCTTCAGCCTGGCCTAGGCCCTGCTGTTGCAGGCATTTGGGGTGCAGGATTTCTCTTTCAAATAAAAATAATGTTTTAAAAATTCATGGGGCTGGGCCCAGCATTGTGACACAGCGCATGGAGCCACCTGCAATGCTGACATCCCATATGAGCAGCGGTTTGAGTCCCAGCTGCTCCACTTCAGATCCATATTCCTGCTAATGTGCCTGAGAAAGCAAAGGAAGATGAGCCAAGTGTTTGGACCCCTGCTATCCACATGGGAGGCCTGGATGGAGCCTCCTGGCTCCTGGCTTCAGCCTGGCCTTTTCGGCCACTTGGGGAGTCAACCAGTGGATGGAAGAGCTCTCTGTCTCTCTCTCTCTGTCTATAACTCTACCTCTCAAATAAGTAAATCTAAAAGAAAAAAAATTCATGGGTGGGTGTGTGGCAAAGTGGTTACATCACTGCCTGGGACACTGCCATCCCCTGTCAGAGTACCTGGCTCAGGTCAGAGCTACTCTGTTTCTGATCCAGCTTCCTGCTAACGGCACCCTGGGAAGCAGCAGGTAACGGTTCAAGCACTTAAATTCCTGGCTGCTGGCTTCAGCCTGGCCCAGCCCTGGCTGTTGCAAGCATTTGGAAACTGAACCAGCAGATGGAAGATCTTTCTCCACATGTCTGTCTGCCTTTCAAATAAAATATTTGTAAAATTCAAGTCACAAAGGTTTAAAATGAAAACTCTTCCCACTTCGTCCAACCATCCAGGCAATTGGTTTCTTGGTGTGGGTCCAAGATATTTTGTGTACTTATATACATATGTCACCTTTTTTCAGTTAAAACAGCAACTATACATCTGTTCTGTACCTTCTTTTAGCTGAGTGCTCTGTGGAGATTGCTCCACTTCTGTACATAAACATTTCTCATTCTTTGTTATGACTGCTTAGTATTGGTTATATGGATGTAGTATATTTGAATTAGTCTCTTAACAGTAATAATGGGTATTTAGGTGGTTTCCAGTTTTTTTTTTTTTTTTTTTTTTTTTTTGACAGGCAAAGTGGACAGTGAGATAGAGAGACAGAGAGAAAGGTCTTCCTTTGCCGTTGGTTCACCCTCCAATGGCTGCCGCGGCCGGCACATTGCGGCCAGCGACCGCGCTGATCCTAAGGCAGGAGCCAGGTACATGGGAGACCGCAAGGAACCTCCTGGCTCCTGGTTTTGGAGCAGCCCAGCTCTGGCTGTTGAAACTATTTGAGGAGTGAACCAGCGGACAGATCTCTCTCTGCTTCTGCCTCTCTGTAACTCTGCATTTCAAATAAAATAATAAAAAGAAAAAAATTTTAAAAGTGACTTTCCCTTTTAAAGTGGCCGTGGCTCACTTGGTTAATTCTCCGCCTGCGGCGCTGGCTCCCATACGGGTACCAGGTTCTAGTCCCGGTTGCTCCTCTTCCGGTCCAGCTCTCTGCTGTGGCCCGGGAAGGCAGTGGAGGATGGCCCAAGTGCTTGGGCCCTGCACCCGCATGGGAGACCAGGAAGAAGCACTTGGCTCTATTCTTCAGATGGGCATAGCTCCGGCCGTAGCGGCCATTTGGGGGGTGAACCAACAGAAGGAAGACCTTTCTGTCTCTCTCTCTCTCACTGTCTAACTCTATCTGTAAAAAAAAAAAAAAGCTCAACAGCAGTGAGACTCACAGTTTGACCACAGCCTACCTTTGCAGCCTTATCTGAACATTAAGCCTCAGTTCCAGACTCACTGCATTTGCCATTTGGAAACTGGCCACTCACTTTTTTTAAGATTTATTTAATTTTATTTAGCTGAAAGACAGAGTTATACAGAGAGGTAGAGCCATGGAGAGAGATCTTGCATCCGCTGGTTCACTTCCCAAATGACTACAACGGCCAGAGCTGAGCTGATTCGAAGCCAGGAGCCAGGAGCTTCTTCTGGGTCCCCCATATGGGTGCAGGAGCCCAGGACTTGGGCCATCTTCCACTGCTTTCCCAGGCCACAGCAGAGAGCTGGATCAGAAGTAGAGCAGCCAGGACTCGAATTGGCACCCACATGGGATGCCAGCACTGCAGGCCAGGGCTTTAACCCACTGTGCCACAGCACCAGCCCCTGGCCACTCACTTTTAAGGCACCATCTCTGTACTAGAGCTGTTTCCTCTGCTGACCTGCCTTTCTGTTCTTTTCCAACAGGAAAACTACTTATCTTTCAAGGACTGGGGTAGATGTTACCAGTGAAGTCTTCACCAACCGTTCTAGACCCAGGGGCATCATTCTTGGTTACTTCAATGAATACCATTCATCCTATCAAAGAACTTATCTCATACTGGAGACAAAGCTTGCCTGTCTTCCTACTTTATGTTAAGTGCTCCCGATGGGCACCCAGTATAAAAGTTAAGGGTATAGTATCTAGATACAGACTGCCTATGATCACATCCTGGATCACCTGCTGACTGTGCTACCTTGGGCAATAATCTTGGCCTCTGTGCCTTAGCTGTGTTGCCTTGGGCAAGTAACTTAACCTTTGTGTACCTTGGGTGAATGACTTAACCTCTCTGTGCCTGAAGTCTCCTTTACCTCAGAGTTGAATAAACTGAAGTGGGCTAGGGATGGCTCAGAACAGTTTCTGACATACGACAAGTGCTCAGTGAAGACTAACTTACTACTGGGGCCAGCGCTGTGGCACAGTAAGTTAATCCTCCGCCTGCGGTGCTGGCATCCCATAAGGGCGCCAGTTCTAGTCCCAGTTGCTCCATTTCCAATCCAGCTCTCTGCTGTGGCCTGGGAAAGCAGTGGAAGATGGCCCAAGTCCTTGTGCCCCTGTACCCGCATGGGAGACCGGGAAGAAGCACCTGGCTCCTGGCTTTAGATCGGCACAGTTCCAGCCATTGCAGCCATTTGGAGAATGAACCAATGGAAGGAAGATCTTTCTCTCTGTTTCTTCCTCTCACTGTCTATAACTCTACCTCTCTAAATAAATAAAATCTTTAAAAAAAAAAAAAAAAGACTAACTTACTACTAAGCTTAGGACTCTTATGTGTCCTCCACTTACTCAAGTGTCTGGCATGTGAAAGGCTCAGTAAATCACTGATGATTTGGATGGTTTTGGTCACCCTACTGAACCTCACATTCACCCCAAAGCACTAGCATGGATCTAGTCACCTGACAGAGTCTCATGAGGCTTTGAGGCTGGTGGCGGTGATAAGAGGGGTTGGGGAGGGACAGGTGTTGTGGCGCAGCGGATTAAGCCACTGCTTGGGATGCCCACATCCCACACTGGAGTTCCTGGTTGAATCCCAGCTACTCTGCTTCCCATTCACCTTGCTGTAATGTACCAAGCAAGCAGCAAAGGATGGCCCAATGTTTGCGCCCCTTCCCCCTGCTCTGTGAAAGACCTGGGTGGAGCTCCTGGCTTTGGACTGAATGGACATCTGGCAAGTGAACCAGATGACCCTATTTATTTTTTATTTCAAAGAAAGAAATAAATCTTAAAAAAAAAGAGCGAGCGAGTGAGTTAGGAGGTCTGGACTCCTTCCTTACGTGGTGGAGACAGTAAGATACAAAAGGCCGGAGAGCTGCTTAGGAAGAGGGAGCACGTCCTTTATTGACCCGGCTTCCCTGTCACTGGTCACTGCTCTTGACTCGTAGGACAACAGGCACAGAACTACAAGGGATCATCCCCAGCTCTGTGATCACCAGATCCACGAGCTCGGGCGGCGTGACATCATAGACGAGATTCAGCAACCGGAGGGATGGGTGGCTCTGCCAGTTCGCCAGGGCTACGTGATCCCCCCGCTCGCACTGCAGGTCGTCAGGGTCATCTGTAACAGGAGGCACCCATCAAGTCCTTTTAGAAAAGCAGCACTTTAACCTCCCCTCTCCCTCCCCAACTTTCTCAGGTTCCTGGAAGCTTCTCTCTGCCCCCTTACCTAGCTCATTGGAGACAAAGGCATCAGTCTGTACACGCTCACAGAACTTGTATGTTTCACAACAGACCAGCACTGGCACATTGTGGGCGCGAGCCACCAGGGCCAGCTGTGCTGTCCCCACCCGCGACATCACAGATCCATTGGCCAGGAGTGCGTGAGCTCCCAAGAGCACCTTAGAAACCTGTTTGTTTTGGAGAATGAAGAAAAGGAACGGGAAAAAAGTCATGCTGTATCATTGCAGAGGAAGTCCCCACTTCTGCCCTGGAGAGCAGTGAAAAGACAAGTAATAAACCTTAATGATGGCTCTCCTTGGAGAACCCCTGACCACGGACTCCCCAGCCTCCCGCTAAATGTAAGTGACTTTGGCCTGTTCCCTCGAGGTGGTTACTAACACGGTACAGTGTTCTTGTGGTTGTGACACTGTGCTACAGCGTGCTGCAGGTGTGTTTCCTAGTAAACAGAAACAGGGCTATACAAGTCTATTATTTCTGAATAACTGGAACCTTGGGGAGGGAGAGTTATCTGTACGTTACTAGGCCTTTTTATCTCTAACGTTGGAGTCTCTTTCCTCTGTCCTCACCTCTGGGAGCACGTAAGAGGCTGCAGGAATCAGCAGGTAGGAGGCAGGGACCCCTGCACGGACCAGAAAGCGGAGCATGTGCCTTCCCTCCAGCCGGGGCCGGCTGTCCACCACCACCACTCGGAACTTGCGGCCCTCGGACCACGCCTCCTGAAGGATCCGTGACACGAGAGATGAGCTAGAGTGAAGGGAGAGAGGCACGCAGCTGGAATGTCACTGACCGACGACCAGCTCTCCGCCCCCGTACACCACGCCACCCCCGCTGTCTCACGGCGCCTGAGCCGTACCAGCCGTACACCAGGATCACATCCCCGTTACTGATCTTCTTGGAAGCAAAGCGCAGAATTGCCTGAGCGGCGAGCACGATCTTCTCCTGCACGTACCGGTCAGCTGCTGCCTGAAGCTCCGCCTTGGCCTAGAGGGAGCGGGCGAGGCGCTGAGGGGACGAGACGGACGCGGACGCACGGCTTCCCGGGGAGATCGTGCTGGACGCAGAATGGGGACCCAACCAGGCCCCAAAGGGAGCCCAAAGGGGCAAGAGTCAGGCCACCCAAGCACTTCCTTAACCCATGGGCCCAGGCAGAACGGCTTATGTGGGTCTCCCTAGGAGTCCGCAACGTGTTTTCTGACTCCAGCCCCGGGTGTATGCCTTTCTCCTTCCTCGTAACTCATCACCTCCTCTTCCCGCTTGGTGCTGCTCACTCCAGTGATCTCCTTGTTAAGGAACTTGATGGCATTGTACATGCTTGCCGACAGGGGGCGGCACTGAGTCAGGAAGCTACAATGACAATACCAAAAAGGGCTTCTGAAAGTTCATGGAAAATGGGAATTAAAGATGAGGTTTATTTTGGTGCCGAAACGTTCTGAAAGCCATGCATCCCATTTTCCACATACTTTCTGAAGACCTCTCACGTGCATCGGTTTCAAAAGGCTTTAGCACCAAAATAAGCTGATGGCTTCCACAGACTTGCCTTACATACAACATGAAAGACTTTCACACTGAAACACATTTCTTTAAAGAGAAAACAGAGATCGGGCAAATGAAGGGAGAGTGACGGAGCAAGAGGCGTATAAGAAAAGGACTGGGGGAGAGGGGCGCGGCCCCGGAGCACTCGTCCTTACCTGATGTAGGGTTTGAGTTTATTCACCAGATCCCGGGAGAGCTCCTCATTGGGCGGCGTCGTGTAATCCTGAATCACCTACAGAGTGCACAAGGGGGTCAGCAGAGCGCCCCCTAGAGGAGCTCTCTGAGAGGGAGGCAGGGACCAGCTTCTGCGGGTAGAACCATCCCCTTAGCCCCAGAGATCACCCTGGGTGAGAAAGCAGGGTGGTGTTAGGTGTTGGCGAGGGTGTGGCTGGGATACAAAGGAGAGAAGGACAAGGCCTACCTGCTGCAAGGCCCGGAGTAGGGCAATACACCGGGCGTTGGAGCCACTGATCAGGCCCTGGGAGTACTGCAGGCCGAGTCGCACCATGGCTGGGTGGATCACAGAGGATGGGATGCTGATGGGATGGCGGTGTCACAGACTTTGCCAGGGGGCTTGAGCACCTACTGCCCACGGGCCCCTGAGGAAAAGGAACGCCCTTCACCGGCACAGACTTTCCCGTGCCCTCTTGGGTTTCGCCTTGAGTTCAGACTTCTTCCCACAGACCCCATCTCGAATCCCCAGACACGGTCAATTCAGGGTTACGAAAATCCCCCAGACTTCACGGAGACAACGGGTTCCCAGGCTCCTACCTCATGTACTGTGTCAGAGAGTTCTGTCTGCTGTACTGGGGGAGGTGGGAGAAGAGACTGACTTTGGATCCATAATCCTTCCGTGTAGGAACCTTGACAAAACAGGACAGACTAGTGGCACACAGTTTTAAACTTACGGGACGAGGCTGGGACGGAGGTGAATAGTGAGCCTTCTTTGACCCAAATACCCATCCTTCTCCCAGGTCCCACTGTGCCCCAAGCTCCCTCTGCTAGGGCTGGGGAAGGGCCATGAGGAGATCTGCAACGTCATTCACAGGCCACACAAAAGGATCCACTTAGAAATGAGCCTGCTTTAGATCTGCTGAATTTCAGGTCCCGAGTGCAGCTGCCTTGGCAGGGCCGGGCCACGACTTCACTGGCCTTACGCGGCCCAGGCGCTTTCTGGCCCTGCACTACACCCACTTCCTACCTGCTGTCGCTCTGACTTTCTGACAAGCCTTCTCAGCAGTGTGGGGTCATCAGCCTGGGTGTGCTCGGTGAGACGCTTCCCTCCTAAAACATAATGACCGTGCTTTCAAGACAGCGCAGGTTTTGAAACGTGTCATTTGTCCTTACAACACAATAGGGCACCAAGAAAAACAGGATGGGGGTGGAGAAGGCAGGGGAGAACAGGGAGAAACAGGCGTCAGAACGGAGTTGGGGGGAAAACTTTGAACTCTGGGTTCCAAGGTGAGAATGGGAGCAGAGAGCTGTTTTACGATGAGGACCCGTGAGCTGGCACAGAACCGGGAGTAACTGGGTGTCTGAATGGAACAGAAGATACCTGCGGGGGCTTCTCCAGCCGTGCTGGGGGAGGCCTGCGGGGGTGGCCCTCCTTGCTCCCCTTTCCTGGCCTGCTTCAGGGCCCGCTCCGCCTCCTGCTTGGCTCGCCTCTCAGCCCGCAGCTCAGCCTTAGTCCGGCCAGCTGGAACTTTCTCACCAGGAGTGCTGGACTGACTGCCAGGTCCTGGCGCTTCTCTGGCTGGGCCTATTCAAGGTACAAGGAAGAGGTGACCCAGCCCAGGCAAGGGGGACCTACACCCTGGCCAAAGCTTCTCTCCCTGTTTATCCACACCTTTTCGCTTTCCACCTTGCCCAAACTAGTTTGTCTCCCAGGCTCCAAACCCCAGTCCTTAAAAAAAAAAAAAAAAAAAAAAAAAAAAAAGACGCGGCACCTGGACACTGGGCTGCCGACACAGCAGAGGCAGTGTCCGCGTCCGTCCCCTTTTCCTCTTTCCGTTTCTTCTTCTGCTGTTTCTTCTCCTTCCGAAGCTGCAGCTTCTCTTCTTGGGTCATCTCCTTCCCCCCTGCCTGGGACAAACACAGCACGCTGTGAACACAGTGAAGCCCCACGACCGAAGCTTACCGAATTCCCACGAGGCGCAGTCCCCGAGCCTCCCGAACTGCCCCAAATTCCCTGCTACAAGCTTCCGCGCCTCCAGAGGGGCTAGGGGTCGAAGGGACTCTGTGAAATCTCCTGTCGCGACTTAGAAGTAAACCGGCACGGACCCGACCCAGCTTCCAGAGCGGCGGCTGACAGGCGGCGTGGGAGGACCGGCTCACTCACCCCGGGCCGAGCAGAAAGCTCCGCCTTCATGCCGGATCCCGAGTCTGCATCAGAAAACAGGGCACACAGTGAGCCGGAGAGGCTCCGGCAGGGCTGGGGGGCACTGGTCCTCGGCGCCGCCGGCTGCCGGGTTGGCATGACCACGGCTCCGCCGCCGCGCGCCAGCCAGCCGGGGACCCGCGTGGGGACGCACTGCGCGGCGGGATCAAAGCCAAGGCGCGGGGGAGGGACAGAGGCGGGGTCACCCACCCTCCCGCAGGCACCCGCCGCCGGGGCGCGGTGCGGGGCTGCGTCCCAGAGTCGCGCGTGGCGCCGGAACGGAACCAGAGGGCCCAAAGCAGCTCCAGGCCCCGCGCCACCCGCCCGGAGCCGGTCGGCCCGCGTACCTGTTGGGGCGCCCGGCCCTTCACTCACCCTCGCGAACGGCCACAGCCACAGCAGCCATCGTTCTGCGTCCTGGGCTCCGCCCGCCGGGTCAGAGGGCCGTCCCAAGGCCTGGCTCGGCGGTCGCCGGGACTACAGTGCCACCCGGGCCGGAGGCTGAGACGCCGACACCCGCCGCGCACAGCCCCGGGCGGACTACAATCTCCGTCGGGCACTGGGTCCCCGCCCCGGAATACGGGTCGCGAGGAGGGCCATCTTCAGTTTGGGCGCTCAGTCCGGAAAGCCTCCTCCTGCGCTGTGGACTACATTTCCCGGCATGCCAGGGGCGCGGCTCCCATAGAGCCGACGTCCAACCGCCTTTCCTCCTCCGATCTCAAGCGCCCAAAATGGCGAGTGAGGCGGCGGGGACGCGCTGAGTGGCGGAGGCGAGCGTGCAGAGCCGCTGCGGGCCTCACAGTCTGGAGCCCAGCCGGGCCCTGCCGCTGGGAACATGCACTTTTCCATTCCTGAAACCGAGTCCCGCAGCGGGGACAGCGGCGGCTCCGCCTACGTGGTGAGGAGCGGCCGGAGCCGGGCCGGGCAGGGGCGGGGATAACGGGCCCGAGCCCTCTCCGGGCGGCTTCGCAGGCCTGGCCGCCGCCCGCAGGGCCTGGTCTTGAGCCACTGACCCCCGACGGCCTCGCTGGGAGCCTATCGCGTGGGTCAGGCTCGTACACAGGTCGTCCCAGCACCTCTAGGTCTTTTCGTTCGGCCGCTCGCCTCCCCCAGCTAGGCCGCGGCTTCTGTGGTGGGCACCGCTGGCCCCTTGGGGAGGGAGATTGCTGTACAAGGGGCCTAGCTTGCGCCTTTCTGGTGCTTCTGCGTTGGGACCTGGTCCCGGAGGAAGCAGGCTGACCAGCCCTCGGGAGAATCTCGGCGCATTACTCAGACTGAGCTGTGCCAAGCAACTTCCGGCCAGGGTTCTGGACGACGACCCTAAAAGAGCTTGCCTGCTTTTGTGTCCTCAGGCCTATAACATTCACGTGAATGGAGTCCTGCACTGTCGGGTGCGCTACAGCCAGCTCCTGGGGCTGCACGAGCAGGTGGGACCAGCACCCCTGCCTTGAGACAGCTTCGAGCCCTTTCCTGCATACGAGCACCAGTATATCCCTCTCCCCTTCATCGTGTCTGCCCATTCGCTGCAGTCTGTAGTCCCTGCCACAGGGGAAGGTGGGGGACTTTATCTTACCTCTGACATTCCCGGGAAGCTCCCTAAGAGGCCTGCTGTCTGCCACAGCGACTCCCCCTTGCTCCCCTCGCAGCCTGCTCCCGGCTTCTCTGCCCCTCTTTCAGCCTTTACCCTTGCATGGAGACACCGCGCCCTCGCACCCGGCTGCCTGCGTGCGTGCCTTCTGCCACCTGAGCTGCAGCTCCAGATTCTCTCCCCTGCTTTTACAAACCCTTCACCGATTTCCTTGTGCATTCCTTGGCTCATGTCAGCGGGCGTGGGTGCTCCAGTTATCCTCACGTACCTGTAATGTGATGTCTCTGTGCCTTCCTCACCAGACTGCGAACTCTGTACTTAACTCAGTAGAGAGTCTCGGATCCACTGATGATAGTTCGTTGTGCTACTCTGAGCAAGTTACCTGATTACTTTAGGCCTCAGGTTCTGCAGCTGCACGTTGGATTCCTGGATCTGCAAAGGCCTTTTCAGGGCCCAGATACTTTGTAAACGTGCCTAGCTAGCGCTTAACTATGTGTGCACTTTAGTTTTTCTGAAAAGCCCTTTGCTTCCAGTGAAGGTGGTTCCAGTGAACAGTGTTGCTAGATAAGCGAGGGGCTTCTTAGGTCCTGGCCCCGTACAGACCCGCTCCATCATGTGGGGGGGGCTGACTTCGTCACAGGAAGGTAACAACGCCTATGTAGGACAGCCCCCTGGAGACGCCGCCCCCGCCAAAGGGACTGCTTCCCGGGTGACAGGGTAGACAGGGGAGCAGGGACCCAGGGAAGGGAATGGGAGCCCAAGAGAACATTGTTGAGTCTCCATCGCCTCTTCTCATTTCCTATGTTTATGCGAAGGGTTTATCTCTTTCTCTAAATAGCTTCGGAAGGAGTATGGGGCCAATGTGCTTCCTGCATTCCCCCCAAAGAAGCTTTTCTCTCTGACACCTGCTGAGGTAGAACAGAGGAGAGAGCAGTTAGAGAAGTACATGCAAGCTGGTGAGTGCTTGGAGGGCACTGCAGACTGAGGACTATGGGGAAGGTCCCACGTTCGTTTCCAAATCTGGGCAACTGCTAACTTGATCTGTTATTTAATTAGCCAAGTAAATAGTCTGCAAGGACGTGAAACTCTATATACTGGCAAAGCAGTTTGGGTACTAACATCTCCGAGAAATACCTAAAGCTAGACTTTAAGCAACTTAGATTGGTGGGGAGAACTTAATCTGTATCCGATGTGCTTTAGATTAACATCATTGTTATTTCCCTAGTTCTGTAGACTGGACTCAACTAGATGGCAGCCAAGGGTGGGGCAGGTGAAGAATTTATGCAAACAGTGAGTGAGGTGAGGCCAGCTGGGGATGTGGCAGGCCACCATCAGCCCAGGAAAGGGGGTCGGGGGGCACCTACTAAGAGGAGGACTGGGGGAGCCAGGCATGCTTCCTGAGGTAGGAGAACGTCGCTCTCTTGTTCCACAGTTCGACAGGACCCTTTGCTTGGGAGCAGTGAGACCTTCAATAGTTTCTTACGTCGGGCACAACAGGTAAGGTTTTGGATGGGATCAAGGTTTAAGGGAAGGGCTTTGTGGGAGAATGATGTGGCTACAAGAGGAGCCATCCTGGCAGGTTGGTTTTGTTTTTTTTGTTTGTTTGTTTTGTTTTGTTTTGTTTTGTTTGTTTTTTTGAATGACGTGTCTGCTTTACCAGTGAAGTCAAGGAAGCCCTAGCCTGTGTTTAAGTGGCTGAGGACAAAGACACCAGAGGGCTCTGAACATGAGAGTTGGGGATGGGGTCACGGTTGGGCTCTGGGCGAGGGTTAACAAGGCAGTGCCTGCCACACCCACGGATGCTCGCGACAGGAGACACAACAGGTCCCCACGGAGGAGGTCTCCTTGGAAGTACTGCTCAGCAACGGGCAGAAGGTCCTGGTCAGCGTGCTAACTTCCGATCAGACCGACGATGTCCTGGAGGTGAGGTGCTTGTTTGGCGCTGCCCTCGTCCCCTTCCACCCCAGGGTCTCAGGTTCGGAGGTGACTAGGGCCATCCAACATGGTAACCCATCCTCCCGGTCCCTGTCCCCAGGCTGTGGCTGCAAAGCTTGATCTTCCAGATGACTTGATTGGATACTTTAGCCTCTTCCTAGTTCGAGAAAAAGAGGATGGAGCCATTTCCTGTGAGTCTCTCTGTCCTCTGCAGCTTCCTGTGCTTCCCCGACCCAAACGGAGCATTTCCTCAAGTTGCTGCTTTCTTGAGCCCCACGACATTTCCCTTTTAACCCACAGTTGTACGGAAGTTGCAAGAGTTCGAGCTGCCTTACGTGTCTGTTACCAGTCTTCGGAGTCAAGAGTATAAGATTGTGCTAAGGAAGAGGTCAGGGCTGGACCCGGGGGAGGGGGCAGGGGAGGGTGCTGGATTGGGTTATGGGGCCACAAACGGAGACAGATTCATCTGGACAAGGGAGTAGTGCTGGCTGTTTCTACCAGGCCTCCCACGCTTCCTCCCACGATGTGACCATTAGCCCCTGATAGCCCCAGTTTCCCATCCTATCTCTTGCTTTACCCCGCTCAGCCCATTACCCCTCTCCACCCCTTGGCCTCACAGTTATTGGGACTCTGCCTATGACGACGATGTCATGGAGAACCGGGTTGGCCTGAACCTGCTTTATGCTCAGGTGAGCTTGGAGCTGCCTCAGAACCCCTCCCCTAAAAATGAGTCTGGTGTCCCACTCTCTCATGAAAACTCCCGTCCTTGTCTAGTTGATGAGGAAGTTCTAGAGAACTGTTCGGCTTGTGACACAACTACTCCTCCCACTTTATAAGCAGATAAGGTCCAGGACTCATTGCAGAGAAGTGTGGGGCTAAAGTCAGGCTGTACAGAAAGAACTGGACGCTACCTGAGATGGCTGACTGGGAGCCCCACCCCCACCCTTGTCTCTGCTGTAGACAGTGTCAGATATTGAGCGTGGGTGGATCCTGGTCACCAAGGAGCAGCACCGCCAGCTCAAGTCTCTGCAAGAGAAGGTCTCCAAGAAGGAGGTGAGCTCTGCTGCGGTCCGCCTCTAAGGGGATCGCTGTATCTGGACTGCTCTGCTCCCTCTCCTGACCTGCCACACATGGTGACTGTTTTCCAGTTCCTACGGCTGGCCCAGACCCTCAGGCACTACGGCTACCTGCGCTTCGATGCCTGTGTGGCTGACTTCCCCGAGAAGGACTGCCCCGTGGTGGTGAGCGCAGGCAACAGTGAGCTCAGTCTCCAGCTCCGCCTGCCTGGCCAGCAACTCCGAGAAGGCTCCTTCCGGGTCACCCGCATGCGGTGCTGGCGGGTCACCTCCTCTGTGAGTCGGGGTAGGAAGGGGCGGCCTTCAGGAATGGAGGCTAGGCAAGCTTTGAGCTTCAGAAATGGGCCACAGCGGTTCAGGAAGGCAGGCAAGTTGGTCAGAAGGAACCCAGCCAGCTGACTTCCCTTCCTCCTCCAGGTGCCACTGCCCAGTGGAGGCACGAGCAGCCCTGGCCGGGGCCGGGGTGAAGTACGCCTGGAACTGGCTTTTGAATACCTCATGAGCAAGGATCGGTTACAGTGGGTCACCATCACCAGCCCCCAGGTGTGAGCCCACCCTCAGACCTCCTCTGGAGCCACTTAGATACCCAAATCTAGGGCTTCCAGGCCTCCATGTGAGTGGAAGCCCACGTGGGGGGGCCTGGGCGCAGGATGACCACGGTGGTCAGGCTGAGCTCTCGTCTTGCCCTCAGGCCATCATGATGAGCATCTGCTTACAGTCCATGGTGGACGAGCTGATGGTGAAGAAATCTGGCGGCAGCATCCGAAAGGTCAGCAGAGCAAGCCCAGGCTGTGTGTGCTCTCCCTCCCCTTCGT